GATCCTCGCGAAAGTCAAAAGCACGTGATTTCATAAATTACGGCCACGTTAATGAATTAATTGAAACGCCACTGAGCTACAATTATACATATATTAGCACACCTGTAATGGACACCGTTAAGAAGCAACGCAGTGTATCTCGTGTTTCTGAGGCTGCAGCAAAGCAAATCCAACTGTCCGCACAGTAAAATCGCGTTGGCAGCGAAAAATACTCCTAAAATTAATTAATAAAACAATGTATCTGTTTTTGTTATTTTAATAATGTAACTGAATGTGGAATGTGAACATTTAGCAATTGGACTTCGATGTGTGAAATAAACTAGGAAGAAAAAAGCACTACTACGAGTTTCTTGCCGGTTCTTCTCAGAAAAGTCCTACATAACAGTAGATTTGCAGAGTTCTAGGATAGTTTTGGACTTTTCACTTATGCTTCTGAACTAAACTGAATAAATGATATGGAATTAAAAAAAAAACTAATTCATTTTTGTTCTTTCAGAAGGTGGTATTAACCAGTGCCGTTTATACTCACCAAACTGACCCAATGCCAGACCAACGATGGCTTGTGATAAATATAATGTTAAAAACGAAATCTCGAAGAAAGGAGACTTCGTGATGTCCATATACATGTAACTTTGCAGAGGTTTGTTAGTCCACCCTGCAATACATAAATTAATAACAAACACATATAGGTATGTAATAATACCTATCTAACGCACTCAGATTCAGACCTATCTAACGCGCTCAGATTCAGACCTATCTAACGCACTCAGATACAGACCTATCTAACGCGCTCAGATTCAGACTCAGACTAACATAATGTTTCGAACGATAAAAATGTTTTTAAATACTCTTCTATAATAATTCATCAAAGAACTTTATAGAAGTTTTTTTTACCTTTCATGCGAAATTGTTACTATACTTTAGGCCAGAGATTTTCAAAGTGGTCGATATCGACTACTTGGGGTCTAAATCGATTCCTCAGCGGGAACATAAATAAAAAATTATTTCATTAATATTCCCTATTAGATCCCCTATTAATTAAGACAAATTCTTATTGAAAAATTTCAATATTATAAATATTATAGCAACTTGACGTATGACTAATATTATAGTAGGAAGTATAGCCCCCATAACTGAGGGGTTCGCACGCCGGTATCGGGTCACCATCTCTGAGGTACCGGGTTCAATTCCCGGTCGGGTCAATTTAGGAAATTAACTTTTCTATATTGTCTCAGGTCTGGGTGTTGTGGTACCCTCGTTGTCTCAAACACTTCATAATACGGGGGTAAAGCCCCCTACTCATCTTGGAATTCGAGCAATGTATGTGATGTTGTTTATTATTTATTTATTTTATGTATTTTGTTCAATAGAAGAAAGATTAGAAATATGATTTTTGACTAATTTGGCTGTCGGTGTCTGAAGTATCAGTTAATTTTGGAAAAGGGCAACTCGTGTTAAATAGTTTGGAAATCCCTGATCTACAACCTAGGCCTAATAACACTTTCAACATGTAATGCTTTACTTTTACGTTCATGTAATGCTTTTCTTACGGTCTAGGGAATCTCTCAGAGAAATATTTAAAGAAATAAATATTCTGACTGTTGCCTCTCAATACATCTATGTACACAAGAAAATATTACGATTCCTTCACAAAAAAAGGTAGTGTTCATAATCTTAACACAAGAAATAAAAATAAACTTGCCGTTTCAAGCTTCAGACTTCAAAAAACCAGAGGATCATTTCTGGGTAAATGTATTGCTATGTTCAATAAAGTTCCACAAAATGTAATTGACCTACCCATAAATAAATTTCAAATTCATGTAAAGAATATACTTATGAGTAAAGGCTATTATAAAGTTGATGATTATTTTAAGGATCGCAATGCATGGAATTAATAGCCTTCGCTTTGTTCTATAAAGACTAATTATATGTTCAACCTATGTCCTACAGACTTTGAAAGTTGTATTTATTATTGTGATAATACATATTATTTTGGTAATGGCATGATTTATGTAAATGTCATTACTTATGATAAAAAGCTGGTAAGTTTCTTTCGCTTGTTCTTCTTGTCAGCTAAAAGACGTCCTGAACAAGTGGTAGGGGAAAAAATTTTTGTTTGGACGATTCTAAAGTGCTTGTAATAACCTACTTGAATAAAGATATTTTCATTTCACTTGACATGACAACTAAAACAAAACTCAATATGTTACCTTCGCTACGAAAGCTAGTAAAGTACTTACAGTTTATAAGTTCCGGGATCACATACATTGTGATACTAAACATGGTGCACGTCGTATACAAATAGCCAAAGTTTTTAGCTGATTTGTAACTATTTATCATAGTCATGTTAGTCAGACCATTCGCTGAGCGGTACTTGAATTGTACCATCATGGATTTTGTCAAGTCATACATTTCACGGCGATACAAACCGAAGTATATCACGATTATAATGGCCACAAAGTATGGCAAACAATCTGCAAGCTTACTCAAGCTGGTCATTAGATCTAGCACATCTGTGCTCAAATGTACGTACAAAGTGGTAGGTACATTGATTAGAACAAATAATACCATGCAATAATAAATGTTGTTGACAAGTATCTTGTACTCCGTTTCCGGCCTTTCATACCAGTCCCAGCAGCCCGCTATTTTCATAGGGATTTCGAGGAAATTCAAGTAGTTTGTAATCGCGTCCGACTCTAAGGTCGATTTTTCTTTTTCAGTTGATTTGTTACGTGCGAAAATACTAAAACCCATCTTTGGAGATCTCTTTTTTATTCGTTACACTTATAAAGACTACGTAGATTATGAAGAACGAATCATATTTCGTAGAACGTAGTTTCTATTCGATCGGTGAAAAATTACTTTCGTATTTTATAAAGTTTCTTCAAAGCAACTATTTTAAATTTTGTTATGTATATTCTAAAGATGTTTACCCACTGGTTATTTGATTAGATTTGCCGTTGCTGTATTAATTTTGACTTCGGTTACCTGTGTTATAGTTTAACCTGTTATTATAATCTAAGCGTTGAATAAAATAAAAACACAATAGGAATATTTTTTATATATGAAGTTTTATGCACAATCTACCATCTAATGTTCGTTTTTTTTTTATCAATGCAAGGTTGTCTGGAAGAAATCGCTGGCCAGTGACAAGCCCGCCTTTTGTACCTTTTTATGTAAAGATTTGCGTGTGTCTATGTAATTTTAATTTAGTTTGTGTAATAAATAGTATTTATTATATGTCTGTGAAAATCAGCATATGCTGAGATGACATTATACTTTCCCGAAGAGAATTAAAATTTGAAACTAATCTAAATGCTCTGTTATAATAACAATTGAAAAGCAATTAACTCTTTCTTGTTAGCAACTGTTTAGAACTGTAGTTATCTCTTAATTGTTTCGAAATTTATAAAGTTGTACTGATTTCGAAATTGTGAAATTTTAATTAATCCGTTTAAAGTAGCTCAATTAGACACCATTAAAGTTTCATAAGCATTTTTCATTATTACTTTGTTAATAAGAAATGCATAAAATTTTATTGGTTCATTTACAAGAAGAAAATGGAAACAAAAACAATAGAGCTTAACAAGTGTTAGTGTTGTACCTATGTGTACGTTTATGTATATGTGATGAAATGGGATTCGAACCCATGACTTTCGCAGTCCGGGCGACTGCTCTAAAACCGAACTACCCAGGAAACACATGCGCATTTTGATGAAAATACGCTCTGTGTAGCGCAAAAGTAACAAGTGCTTGAAAAATAAGTCAGTCCTGTTTTTTTTATTCCAACTGTTTTTATTAAATCGTTTTCTTTCTTATTACTTTCTACTTGATACCTGAGTTTTTTATTACTCATTCATTTTATACCTATTTAGTTATACACTATCCTTTTATCACCTATATACAATTTAACTTTAATCCTAACTCATCCTATAATATGGTTTTTATATATCTATTACATTCTCAATATATTTCCAACTTAACATATTACATTATACTCTATAGTCCTGTTAGGCCCTGTGTAGCTCAGTCGTTAGAGCTGTCGCCCGAATCGCGAAAGGTCGTAGGTTCGAGTCCCATCTCAGAGTACCAGGGACAAAATGGATTTTTTAAGCATTTGTTTACCAAGAATATTTTCTAGTATAGCACTGTGAATTCAAAATAGATCAAATATTATAATAACTGTTGGTTTTTTCAAGTCAAAATCAAAATCAATTTTATTTATTCAGTCTACTATGGATTATTTCAATCATTTGTTAAAGTCGATAGCTATGCTATCGGTGTGCAAATGGCTGGCAAACAGACAACCTTGTACTGAACCGGCAAGAAACTCGGCAAGGGTTTCTTCTTTATTGCTGTTTCATACAGAAAATAAAAAAGTAGCCTTCGAGGTATCTAAGTATCACCTATTCACTAATTGAATTCCATAAAACTATATTGAAGTATTTAAAAAAATTATTAGTTCCCGAAATCAAACTAGATGTCGCTACGGAACTTTCTTTATTTTTCCATGGCAACCTTTTTGTTTTCTTTCATGTATAAAAGTAAATTTGTGTTCAAAACTCAATAATCAACTCATATTATATTTGCAAATTTTGTATTTGTATTGATTTCTAATCGTCGAACTTAGCAAATTTCAGTTTTTTAATATGTTAGTTAAATGGAACGTAAATGACTATCTTTGGTCCATTCGTTTCCTGCAAAAATCAACTTTTGTTAGATTCGCCATCTAGTGGAGGTGCTTTTTGGTGCTTTCTTTTTTTTTTGATACTTCCACATATATTCAAGCTAAAGCTTAGATTTGTATACCGGGAATTAATTTCGCTGGACTTATGAACTTGAGCTTTTTATGCGGTGCGACTAGGGTTGTCAACCTTAAAACAGTTATCATTAAAAAACCATAATTGTAAAATAATTTATTACTTTCAACAATATATCAGAAAAATATAATTATTGTCTTCTCAAATCCCAAACCTTCGTCGTTACTTACATTTTTGTTTTCAAGCCGTTTGCATGGATTCAGCATCTCTGAAAACGAAAGAAGTTAATGTTGAAAATCCATATTTTTTATTTATTACATAACTAAATTATTATTTTGTTTAAACTTCAACATTTACATCAACTTCAACAGTTTCCCCCTAAAAATGTCGTTAGTGAGCAAATCCCTTAAAAATATGTGTGCCTAATCTATTGATTACGCAAAATATAAAAAATACGTGTTTAAATTAATAGAGTGAGAAAGACAATGGAATTGGGATAACGACAGAAAATAATAGGGTGACATAAAAGGCGAAACGGTATGTGTTGCCAGATACAGCTCAACAAGAGCATACAAAACGTAAAAATACCTAGACCAAACTTGTGCCTACGTATGTAGCTATACTTACTTCTCTTTAGATCTTCGCTGGGCGATCCTATAGATCCTTCTCAGCTCCAGAAGAGCCCTCATGATGACCACCAATTGCTGTTCAAAGTCTGATGTGTCTACATCAATTGGCAGGCCCTTTGAATTTAACGAAATGATAGATACAGAAAGTTTATTTTTATTTTATTTCATTTAAAAACAGGTTTTGTCGTGTGAGCGCGAAGATTTGAGCTAATTGAACACCTAACAATTAGTTACCAGTTTAATGACATTGTGGTTTTATAATGTATGAGTATATAAATTCAAAGTTTAAGGTTTAAGAGTAAAAATCAAGATTGATGTGTCTACCAGTTCAACTTTCTCTCCCTTTCGGTTTTTAGACTTTGACGTATCGAGGTGCTTAGTGCTTCGACGTCACAAGTCCTTATACAATACTAACAAGTTCACGTAATTTAACGAAATAGGTGCTTATTTTATTTGTTCAATTAAGAACTTGAATTATTGAAGCCATGAAAACACTAGTATGGTTATCATTTTCGCATTTGTGTTTGCACTTTCGCAAGGACCACTTATTTGACAAAGGACCAAAAATTCACAAACTCGAACTTACCGACCTTCGTAACCCTTCGTAACTCGATCAGTACCCCTATGCAATTCTAAACATAAAAAAGGCCAGTCCCACCGGTGAGTAGGTACGTTATTAAACTGTACACTATATTCCTTATAACTAAGGGATATATAGCAAGCGCCGTCCAGTTATTTTGTCTCGTGAAAGTCTCAAAATATTCGCAAAATTGACAGCCAACTGACAACTAACAGACAGGCATTTTAAGAAGAATAATAATGTTACCTTCTGGTTGCATATCTTGACGTAGAGCGCCCAGATGGCGGCGCGCACGTGACACAACTCCACGTGCCTGTTGGCCGCTGTCTCCTTCAGACGGTTCAGTGCCAGTTCCCATTTGATCACGCGGTTTCTCACTTTGTCATATTGCCACTGGAAAAAGGTTTTTTGAATCGTTAACATTTTCTTAATGAAAAATGCTTAAAAAACCCACCAGCACCAGGTTCTCTGAGATGAGTCTCAGTGGTTAGAGCAGTCACCCGGATTGCGAATTCCATCTCAGACTAGATGGTAGTGGATTATTAAAATATCATTTTTCATTAAATTATATTTTCCAGTATAGCATTTTAATGCAAAATTGATTGAAGAAATATTCTCTAAATTATAAAACTTACATATTAAACATATTTGGAAATAAACCAGACGTCAGCCAAAAAGCAAAAAATTACGCAAGAGAACTATAATTAGCTGTTAACAGTAATAGCAACTCTTACATCAACGTGAATGTTAGGTAGAAAGGTAAACAAGAAAAGCGTATTTTTTATTACAATTATTCGTAAGTGTATTAAAAATCTCAATCTACTTCATGAAATTTATGTTCGTCAGATTAAAACCGCACTACATTTGAGCAAACAAATTGTGTTACCCTTAAATTGGCAAGAGTGTTATTTAGACCCATAATAAACAGCTTCTTCTCCTCCGTTAGCGCAGCTATCTCCTGACGCGCTTCCTCCAACATTTCCAGGTCACGCTCCTGCCTCTCCGCCAGGGTGCTCTTGGCAGCCGCTGAGGTGAATAATCAGTTACATCTAGTATAAACACAGAAGTGCAGTTCGATAAACATGTTTCGTTGTGAGACAAAAATCTTACCCAAAGCTTCGTATCTGTTCAAAACGTCTAATGGCTGCTTAAACTCAGGATATGCGCGTACCACTGCCATGAGATAATCCTGCAATAAATATTGACTTAATTCGAAAACTGGTATGGTGGCTAATCATTCACTAATAGTACCAACACCAAAGAATGCACATAGCTATTAGGTTGGGGGAAATGTCTTTTCGCATATAGTACGTATGAACTTCTAATAAAATCTTTTTGACTATACCATTTGTGCTGGTTTCAGTATAATTAAAAGGTTAAAATTTTAAAGAAGATATGTTTATGGACCTAGTACAGTTCCTGAGAGAAGCGCAATGCTTTTTCAGTCAAAAGAATTTTAATGTCAAAGATACACTCGTTAAAAATAATAATAATAATCACTTAATTTCTTTTACAATAGCTACATACGATCTTCTAAGATGTAATTTCATTATACTTTAAGCTAATTCATAAATGTCGTAGCCATCGTGAGAAAGCGAAACCTGTACTAGGATACCCTGTATGACAGAACTTCGGCATTATTATTTAGTATACATTTTATAAATTGTTAATAATTTTAAGAGCAAACAATAAAAAGGCGTGTGTGTGTGTGTGTGTGTGTGTGCGTTATTGCGTGGGTGGATTCTATTTTTGAAAAAGTGGAGTAAGATCGGCATATCAGTAGTTACGATGTAGGTGAAGAACTGGGAATTGACTGCAAAACAGTTTTGGCGCATTTGAAAAAGGAGGGTACATAAAAAAGTTGGACATTCGGGATATTCCTTGTGTTTTTTTATTACGGCGTAAAGAAACTGAACCATTTTTTAAGAAGCTGATAACTGTTGATGAAAAGTAGATCACGTACGACAAGAATAACGATAAAAGTCGTGGTAAAAAAAAACAAACTAAGTTCTCCTAGTATTATTTCTTTCCAATTCTAGGACGGGCTCAAAATCTCTTTTTGAGAGCTCTAAAAGATAATCAAGTATTGGCCATACTTTAGAAGACAACGAGGAAGATACTTTTGCAAGTCGTGATACTGCAGGAGTTTAAGCAACCATTTGTAGCGGTTTTTTGATCAGAAGTGCCAAAATTTCAAGCAAAACGTACCTAAAACGTAGCAAAATGTAATGAAACTTTATTAAAAATGTTTTGAATTTTCATATAAAATGCGAAGAAACTTTTTCTCCAACCCATTATCAACTGTAGTCCAGAACTTTTTACCTAATCTACTCAACTTGCAAGTCTCACCTCGTAAATAGTGTAGTCTTTAACTTGCTTTTCCATAAGTTGTTTGACCTGTTCCATCTCTTGCACACGCAGTCGCATCGCCTCAGTTTCACGAGTCTTTCTTTCGAGGACTACGCTGTCAGCTTCCATCTTGCGTTCGGCGCGATCGCGCTTTTCCTGATTCTCTCGGATAAACTATAAATCAAAATGAGATGACCTTGTCTTAATAGTTTTAGCGTTATTCGCATCGAAATATTTCACATTTCCGAACGCCACTAATCAAACGTAATACCATGACAGTCACTAGTAATATACGCCGCTGAAGCGGTTACTCTGTTATAATTTTTTTATACATTAATCTTTGGCGTCTTACATACGGGGAACTGACGGTAAAAGTGTAATAGAAGCTAAAAAGAAATTGAATTTCTTCAGCCTTGGTTGTGATAGACTGGACTGCAAGTTATATCTTAAGACAACTAATAATTTTTGACTTACCGTTCATTTGGTATTGTTAGAGCGGTGAGGTGTGTATTGGTGATTTAGAAATATACCTTACACCTATATTGATTTATCTTACCTTGTTAAAACTAATAAAAGATTCTTTGAGCAATATTTCCTTATTACGCAGCTCCTGCCACTTGGCGTCCATGACAATGCGATATTTTGCTTCTTCTTCACGTTTTGCTACTAATTTCTCGTCTGCTTCCATTAGATCTCGGCGTGCTTGCTCCATCAGCACTTGGGGAGTAGGTCGAGCTACGTCCCATACTGGATATTTCCTAAGTAAAATATAATGTAGTAAAATCACAATTTATTTTTATGACCAGGAATTCCAGATAGTGGTGTAGCGTGGACTAATGTAGACGTGGGTGAAGTAGCAACAGCTAAGCTTTTTCTTTCAGTACTAGTTCTGCCTAATATGTAGGCTTATTCTTCTAATACTTATTGTGTTACAAAACTAACCAAATAAGATGATATATCTTAGAAGAAATATATGTTCGGATATTTTTGAAGAAATATATATTCAGATATGAGCTTTAATTCGGATTTTTTTGGAAAAACCTTACGAGGCCTCTTTCAATGAGCGGACGTGGGCGAGAGGTTTCTTCGCCCACGGCCGAGCTACTAGCTACGTCACTACCACTGAAATTAAGTACTCGATCTACGTTAAAAGATTGTTCTACACAAATTGGAGGAGAGTTCTTTTTTGGACTTACTTTACCATCCTTGCACTTTCCATGAGCGATTTGTAGTATTCAGCAGTAGATTCCACAGGTGGGCCATGTGGTATGGCTATAGGCGCCAAATCTTTCGTAGTTTTCTTCATTTTTGATATGAAAAACTATTAAAAACTTAAAAAATATATGTATAGCTTCACTTATGCGGTTTTAAAATATATTGTGATATCTTTTAATGTTTATTGGCCCCTTAATTAAAGCAACGGCCTTGTGAAACTTGTAAAAAATTACTATGATTTAATATTTGTTTGTTGCTTAGCAACTAACAAGTTAAAAACCTAGGACTACAAAATTTCGTATTTCATATTCATTGCGATTCATACATACTTGTTACGTATGTCGTAGCCAACTAAAAACAACCGTTCAATTAGGGACTAATCATTTAATTGAATGACTCCATTAAATTAACGGGCTAGCCGCCTAATTGGTTTGCTGTTTGATTATACGACTTGGCTGCGACATATACAAATAGTGCATATAATGAGTTATTTAAAAGAAAGTGATTTATAAATTTTCCACTGGTAGGCCTTAAATGGTAATGAAGGTTGATTGATCGGGTTATTCTTTCTTGTCGTCGTTTACCTTCTTTTTATGTTCTAACTCATACATTTTTACGTTCTCATATAATTATTTTATATTCACATCTGACTTCTTTCTCAAAACTCCAAAATTGTGTGGAACGATTGTGTATATTTTTTTGTAACATTAGAAAATAAATCACCTTTGACTTGCCCTATATGTTCTAAATCCTTTTGCTTTTAATTACAAACGACAAAATTTACAATATGACATTAACAGCGGTACGCATAGCAGCATAAAATAAAGCATTTGAGCAACCAATTTTGAGCTTTATGTTATGAATATAAGTGTTAAATGTGTTTACGCAGCAAAACAAATATTAATGCAACTAGATATGATGTTGCTTATACTTCATTCTTTAAGGTTATGTGTGTGCTGCTATAAAGACTTATTTTTCAGTTTTGTCTAAACATCATACTAAATCTGTGGTCTAAACTAAAGTATATTTAATTTAAAACTGATATATACTTCATACCTTATATCGGCAACGCTACATTGAAACTTTTAAGATAAAGTTACCTATATGTAACTACAATCATTTCTTCCAAACGCAAAATGGATTTAAATTTGTCTTTTATAACCGGTCTCGGTTGCGGAATATGCCTTGGAATTTCATTAATCGTTTTAAAAAAATACTTCGGCTCTGCTCCCAATGCTATTAAAGCTGTAAAGAAGGTAATTTTACTGTTTATTTTTACAAACAAAACAATATGAAATCAGCCTCAGGCAAATAAATAAAAACAGTTCAAAGGCGCTCCAGTATAATTATTATTAGAAATATTAAGATTTCTTGTACAAAGGTGTTTTATTTTACAGTTTGCAACAAATTCTGAATACAAACTTGTATTAGTTGTGAGGACAGATCTCAATATGAGTAAAGGGAAAATAGCTGCACAATGTGGTCATGCTGCCGTCGGGGCCTTTGAAAAGGCACAAAGAAAAGATCCCGAAGGTCTAAAATGCTGGAGAATGACTGGCCAAGCCAAAGTAGCACTCAAGATAGATTCGGTAGATGAAATTAAGCAAATAGCAGATAATGCCCAAAAAATGGGACTGATAACATCCTTGATAAGAGATGCAGGAAGAACACAGATTGCTCCTAACTCTATTACAGTTTTAGGTGTTGGACCTGCACCTAAAGATGTTATTGACAAAGTTACAGGTCACTTGAAACTCTTGTAATTATTAAACTTTAAAATACTAAGAAAATATTTGTTTTGATTAGGTAACTTATCCTTTTTTTATTTGATGATTTACTGGTGTTTTTCAAAATTATCATTAGATATCTGACTAAATAATCTTTTACTTCTCTGGAGCTCTACACTACTGCAGAAAGATATTAAACATAGTCTTGGGGGCTGTCCATTAATCACGTGAGGCTCGAAAGGGGGGGGAGGGGTCCATAAAAAGTCACGAAATATCATAAGGGGGGAGGGGGGTGAAGTAACATATCACGTGTATTTATTTTTTCGACAAACGCGCGATACTCAACCGAAAAGTGGCGTAAATAAGTGTAATAAAATTATTTTTTCGTCAAACGTTCATTAAATAATAATATTCATAAAGTTTTTCGCATTCCTTTCATTATTTTTGTCAATCAAAAACAACCTGCAAGTCCTGTAATCTTTCTGTCTACCTCTAGACATTATTGTACTCTTTAATTGTCTATAATACAATTACAAAATTAAGATTCATTGTAAGTACTAAAAATACACGTGATATATGGGGAGGGGGGGGGGGTAGACTTAAACCTCACCATGTATCACTATGGGGGAGGGGAGGTTAAAAAATGCCAAAAAAAACATCACGTGATTAATGGACAGCCCCTTGACAACGAGTATTTGTCAACATCACCCTTTTAATGTTTTCACATTTTAATGCCTCAGTAGACACACTGTTCCTAGTGGAATAGGGAAAATGGGCCTTGACATACAATGGTAACTTGATGTTTGTCAACTGCTGCAGATGTAGCTGATACCAATGGCTATCATGCTTTCAAAAGTACAGTGAAGCTTAACATGAATTTTGGTCTCCCATCCTCAGACTGGCTCTTGCAAAAGTTACTTAACTTCCACGTCACAAAACAAACACGTTAATATATAGTCTGACACAGTAGCTCCAGTGGCATAACCATTTAGAATTATGAAATTTCATATGAATTTTTAATTCATACTCCACCACCCTATTCTAAATTCAATTGAATGAGAATGGAGCCATGTATAACTAGTTCTTATTTGGCCATTATTATATTTTATATTAAAAGGGTCTGTATTAGGTTAATAATAGTGCAAAATAGATACATAGAAGGGACAGCTAATTAGAATGTCTCATGTCTAGACTGGATCGCTGGTTGATAGATTTTTGCATAACCCATTCAAAAATTTTGTACATTGGAAGATAAAACAACCATACGTAATTTTGTAAAGAATCTATGCAACAGGCTTAAGAAATAAAACAAACAAATAAGTAATTTCATTTTATTTAATTAAAAATACAAAATTACAATATTTTAAATTTCAATCAAGGCGGATTCGCAAGGCACTTTCGAGATAAAGCCAATAAATTTGTACCAGATCAATTATGTCAATAGAAAAATTAAAATGTTTGTGTACTTATGTCTATACAGTCTGTAGTAACAATCATAACGTAACCGAACGTGTGTTTCTAGCCCTTGTAGAACGATGTTGTAAGTTCAGCGTAATATATAAATGATCTTAATACACCTGTCTATGAATTCTAATTTAACGCTATATGACTTTTTTCATCTGTATGAATTTCGGCTAGTTACGTTAAAGCCCAAGGATAAATTCATAAATGACATCATACTAATTTTGTTTCCATTTAAATTCGGCTTTTAAAAAGTTTCAACAGTCTAATCATGTTTTTTATTAGGTACTCTGAAATGCCACAAAATTTAGGGCCCTCCTCCACCAACTCGTTCAACATGTTACGTAATGTATGGACGACTCCTACCTACCTGACTAAATAAAAAAGGGCTTATAGTGTCAAATAAAACTTTGGCATCTAGAGAACAAAAAACAAATTCGTTTATAATAACGGAACTGTTAAAATATAGGAGCAATATGTCAATGTTATTAATTAATAAAAAAAATAATCATTTAAAGACATTAATGTCTAGGAAGACTTCAAATATCTTTAAAATTAAATTACGCCAAATTTGTAATCAAATTTATCACAATTATGTTCCAAAAATAAAGTATAAAAAATAGCATAAAATATATTTTTTTGTCTTGAAAACTTATTGATGGCAATATATTATATTAATGCCATTGTAATCATAAGTGCAATCATTTCACTTGTTTTATTATTTCACAATCAATACAATGTAAAGTTACTATAATTTAGTCAAAACCTCCAATTAATTTAAGTTCACTATTGCTTGTAGATAATGAATCATTTGTAGTGACACGATGTGCTGTTCTTGTTGACATATCTTATATCAAATTAAATTGCAATATAAAAATTATTACTATGTACAAATTTCTTAAAACATTTTCATTAAAATAAAAAGAAAGATACGGGAATACATTCGAATACTCGTGAATGCTTAGACCAAAAAATTGTCCTAAAGTTATATAAAACGCATAGTAAAAGACGTCATCACTAGTCTCCAAAAATGTGGGAACGATGGGATTCCACCTTAGCATGAGCGCAACAGGATATCTTAAACGTTTATTTTTCTTCATTATTATAAAAAGCTATCCTTTTTTACCAAAACTTATATTTATACACAAACCACAATCTGTTAAGACACAAATATTCGTGTACTTTAAATATAAAAAAAATACGAAATTTGTTATAAATTTGAGCTATATATTGGGAGATATATTTTTAAGTAGTATTAATATTTTTCTTTGAATGATCATTGATCAATCAAGTAAATTGTGTGCAGTATGCATTTTACAGTTACCATTTATGGGGCCGGGCATCTTACTTTTTTATTTTAATCAAAGTTGAAACATTTTTATTAGACACAAATAAATCGTTGACATAATAATAAAAAATGAAATAGAATATGGTTGAACATCGTCCCAGCTTAATTATCTTTTAATTATCTTTCATTTTCTATGAATTATAAAAATAAAAGTAACCTTTCGACGTTACCGTTTCATTAGTAGTTTCTGGTGTGATTGTACAATAGGCAGCACATCTATTTATACAAATCTCCAATCTATACGAAACTTTAATATGTATTCTTTGATGTGCAACTCTGAACTACATAATTTTCTTACAGCCAGATGCATAAACGTCAATTAAAATTGTCATTAGTTTAAAGCGACATTACCGATACAAATTTGACATCCATTAGTTTGAATGCGTCATCAACCCTTAATGGACGTTTGTGCAATTGACCGTTTGTGGACTGTTTAAAAGCAAAAAAAAATATAATAATTTTATGAAACACAATTCACTGGACATCATTAACACATAAATACTACAAAAACAATAGAAAACCTGTATTTTCTAATAACCTTAAAACAAAAATTAATCATATTTATAAAAGAATGCATAGACATGTATAAAAGGCCGTAATAACGATAATGATTAATTTTCACTAAAGTGGAACCAGTGGTTTCTAACATTTTCATCGTCATTATCCCTATTAAGAAAACACGACTGCCAAAGACGAACAAAAATAAAAATAAAAAAACTAGTTGTATAATGGCTTGGTTAAACAAAATTTTCATTGCAGTCGGAGGACCGTTCTAAGAGGTTTTTTATTTTTAGTTCAAAATTGGCAGTAGTGTTTTTTAAATAATTTATTTTTGGGCATTCGTGTAAAACTAATATTACCCCATCCATAAAGGCTTATAATACAAAAATATTACAAGTAAATATTACAGGCATCTTTATAAAAAAGTGATGGTTATTATCGTATCGCATTTACCAGTTTCTTATCGTAGGTTTATTTTAATTTAAATCTTGTTAGAAAATGAGACTGTTTCATTGTTCTTCTTTTAAATTTTCTCTTAATTATTAGGTTCTTTTTTTAAGCCTATATAAAAGCTGACCCCGCGGGGATAATTAAACCTAGTTGGGAACCACTGGTCTACAGTGAAATCCAATATAATGACGATTCATGAATCTTTGTTGGCAGCGCAGACCCACCAATTTCGATGATGAACTAGTATTGGTTATAATTTATAATATGTCGTATCTTAATAACTACAAGGTCTAAATAAAACGATCCAGCACATTACTTGAATCATTCTGATTGGCCGACATTTACCACATATAGAAAACCCTTTTGCGCACGTATGGACAAGTCATATTATAAGGCTAAAAATTTATCGGACTAAGAGGAATGCAGATAACAGATATATGTAACAAGTTATCAAAAAACTTTTAACTTAGACTCATGTTGACTTAATTTTATATATAAGGTGACATAAATTCCGTGAATTAGTTTGTCTTTGGCTCTGTCGTCGCCTTTTAAAGCGGAGGTAGAGGGAACAGACACAAGTAAACACTTCTATATTTAGATCCGAATATATGCTCGCTTAAAGCGGTCTTTGGACGTCATTAACGCTTTTTTAACGCAAGAACACCGAGCAACTAACGCCGAGAGCTCAATTTGCACTAGCTCTTTAAGGAGGTACGTTACAATATGACTCATCTTGATGGCAATAGATGGCGTTAGCGTTCTAATTATTATTTTTTTGTCTATAATAATGTCCATGTTAGATTTATATAAAGTAAATAAGTATTTATATTAACTAAATTTTAAACTACTAATCTAAATTTAATCAAACATCTTATATACTTGAACAATGTTTAGACATTTTCATTTATATACCTTTATAACATCAAAAGTAAAACTGTATTTTAGGAGGTGGTGAACCTGTTGACCTGATATACAGGCAGTTCAAATGCTTAGCTTGGGCAGCAGTATCCCACAAATAAATTGTTGATACAAAAAAAAAATTGTAAGCCTATATTAATCAACTTTGTGTATTTAATGGAAAAAATAAATTAAATATTATTATTATTACTATCAATACAGAATTACGATTCATATGACAATTTATAATGTGTTTTTGTGACTGAGTGTTTTAGTGTCGCATAAATTACTACTCTAAACTACTAGAATTAGAAAACTTGTCTGGGGCCTGGCGAACATTGGCAGATGTTTCTATTTATCCTACAAATATTATTATAATAAATTGAGTAGTAGGGTTGAAAACTACATACTTAATAAGAGAACAGGTTATCCAAATCTATGGAAATTATACCTTAACTTATTGGGTGTAAAGTAAAATAATCAGTGGCAGTGGATCATTTGGTAGGTGGGTGTATAATTCGATTGTTATATATCGCCATATCTATGCAATCTTTAATATAATCAAATATGTATAACAACATATTTAAGAACATAATAAAATTAAACAGAACATTTATGTATTTATCAAAATTATGCACTGTTTCTCAACATGGTAATCGAAGCCCCTTGGTGGGTCGTGTTCATTATTCCCGGTGGTCGCAATGTATATCAATCAATAGGTCCAAGCGACATTGCGTTATATTACATATCGGGAAACAAATTTTCTTTTCTTTATAGTATTTTTTTCTTAAATTGATTAACCTTTCCACCATCAACAGCTACAAACCTAGCTACAAGTCGGTTTACAAAATGTAACTGTTATAAAAATCATATTAAAGTTAACTTTATATCGTGCAAGGGTCGCATTATATTTTATACCTTGAGAAACAATGACATAAAGAATTATCAGTTCGTACATAAACAACAATACTAACTATAAAAAGAAACTAATGATTAATTTCTATATTATCATGATGGAAACTGGTTCAAATGAAAATTAATAACTTTCATAGCACTAATCAAAGACACCATCACTGGAAACTTAAAATTAATTATGTACATTAATAAAGAACTTATCTAAGATCACTTAAAAAATTGTTGTAATCATGATTGAAATAACCAAAAAACTATAAAAAGGATCTCAAAGTTGAAAACGCTTAAAAAATCAAAAATTTCCGGTGAAAATAATTGCAAAATGCAACAAAGCAACGCTCATTAAGTTGAATCAAAACACATTATACTCTATGGTCAACATCACATCAAAAAGACCAGAGGCTACGCCATTCTGTCACTGTCATATGTTATAATAGAAACCTTGTGTTACATAATATGTAGATAATATTACAAATAAATGAAACATTAAAGTTCTTATTAACTGAACATAATTAAGATTTGATAAATTTTTTAAAGAAAAAACACTTAAACATTGAGATTGTCAATTATTTTAAACATTTTTCTTTAAATATATTTATCGATTTAGCATTCGTGTATACGCAATATGTAATTATACATAAGGAATTTACGTAATTATATCAGTAATGGAACATAAATGTATAATTGTATACAACTTAACAGAATAACAATTATTTATCTAAACATCTTTACCCTTGACTGGTTGCACTCCTGCACATTCAAATTTAAGCTGAATATAACTATAGTGAAATTCAACTAAAAAATGAAGTGTACTTATAAAAGAAAATTAAAACAAAAATCTCCTTGAAACCTATTACAGTACGCAATAAAAATACTTAAACACACAGCTAAAATGCAAACGCATTCAAAATTACACTTTATATTAAGTGCAACAGCACCGAATAACCTCAGATTAATACTCTTTAAGTTGTAAAAGACTCACTGCGAGTCAGCGTGCTTGTATTGTTGTATCGCAGCCTTTAGGGAGGTGACACACGCGGAGCAGTTGGCGACGTACTGGGAGTCGTCGCTGCGTGCCGCGATGCCCTGCTCCATCATACGGACCATCATCTCCAGGCCGGCTGTCATCACATTTGCACCGACCACTTGGAGCTGAACAATTATGTATTTATTACATTATATCAATTCTGCTTTCACAATGTTATACTGAATTTTTAATGAAAAATGCTCCATTAGCCCCAAGTACTCTAAGATTGCACACGAAACTACGACTTTTCGCAATCGCGGCGACTGCTCTAACCACTGGACTACCCAGGACACTCAAAACAATACTACTGGACACATTCACAACAATTTTTATATTTTATGGATACCAAATAGTATTGTTTTTTAATCTATTAAACTAACTTTCTGCCAGCGGCTTCGCCCACGTGGTCCTGTATAATACATATAAATGATCCTCTTGAACCACTTTATATTGCAAAAACCGCATCAAAAACCGTTGTGTAGTTTCAAAGGTCTCCGCGTACAGACAGCGGAAAGCGGCTTTCTTTTATTCTATGTATAGACATATACAATCTTAGACAGCATCACACACATTGCTCAGAAACAAAATCAATATACTATTTAAAGATTCCAAATCAATACACATCAAACTCGGGACCTCAAAGATGGCGACACCTTGAAACCGACGTACTATCCCCTCTGCTATGGCATTAGTCAGTATATCTCATAAAATTGAGGACTTCTCTTCACTTCCATTTCAAATTAAAACTATTGTGATATCATAAAATTTCGAGTGGTAGAATTAAATAATTGTACAATATAACTTATTAAATAGAAATATAGTTACATACCTGTGGTAAAGTAATCAAATTTGTGTCGAACGCCGCCTGCCCGTTCGGTACAACTTCGATCTTTATCTTCTTTGTCTTAGATTTGTTAATCTGGTTGGCGGGCACGCGTTTCTTGCCACTCTTGAACACGCCTTCGCTCTCTTCGTCCTTCAGCAAGTCACGTCGCGGACAAGAGCACACTCTCGCTCCTGTCATCTCGCGGCCATACACGTTTCCGCTGCGTATAAAATATATAGCAGGTTAACATTTATTAAGCGCCAGGTTTTGCGTGCGACTTCGTCCGCATAATGAACCTCCATACAAACTTTCATCTCCTTTATTCACGACAAAAAGCTCAGGGGTGGATCCATCGTCATGGGTACGATCGCAATGCCTCAAATTGTGGTGACGTCACAATTTCATGATCACTGGGGTTGATAGCCTACGTGAAACTATACAAAGTCTTGAACTCGGCGTGAAAATTTGGGACCCCTTTCACTATTTTGAACAGGAATTCATACTCCGACTCGTACTTAGCCTGTTTTTGGGTGACTGTGACCACAACCTTTATTGAGATCTGGATCCGCCCCTGTAAAAGATAACCTTTGGAAAATGTAATTCCTCAAAGTCAACTATCTCTGTATTAAATTTCTTTGAAACAGTATTTTAAATTCAATAGTTCATATGTAAACGCGTAACAAAAAAATGTTAACATAAGCATTCCAACTTATATTTCTATTTATTTACCAAACAATATTAATAGTATCGATAAACTAGGCTTTAAGGCTCTGTAAATACTTCACTTCAAAAAAGGGTCAATCATCAAAAATATTTGAGAACTTCAGGTTTAGGACAACGTTATGTAATGCAATAAATTAAAAAAAAAACTACTCACAACGCGTCCTCTAATGTGAATATGATAGCGATAGCTCTTCTATTTATACCGGAGGAGCAGCTGTTCTTGCAGACGAACTTGTAGGCGTGTATAGTGGATTGTCCGGTGTTATTCATCTCGACCAGGACCGAGTACCAGGAGTCAGCCCTCGACGGGTCCCCGTGGTAGAACACGCCCTGGGTGCCCACCTCGCGCGATGAACGCAACACGTTCATGCGGATGGAGTCTGACCGAGGCGCATACACAGAAACACTTTAGAAGCAACTTGCGCAGGCGCACCATTAGGATATAACCGAATTTCCCTGTTATATTTTAAAATATAGTTTATAATTGTGAGCAATGTTTTTTATAGGATATTTATATAGGAGCATTTTAGGTTTTGGTATTACTGAATACGTTCACCCGCATACATTGTGACTGGTCGTAGGGATAAATCGATACTACTCAAAACACCTACGGATCGACATTTTTGATTCAATACCACTGCAAGTACTCGATAATAGCAACATTCGATACTGAGTACTGGGTTATACTGATATCGAATTAAAATACTAATATCGGTAGAAAGGTAGCCATCGCAGTTATGACTTAGTAGTTTCAATGCACTTTCAAGACTATTATTTAGGTATGTTTTTAAAGTACATTGAAATTAGTTATGATACTTCTAAATTAATACCACTTTCGCCCAGTTTCACAAACTTACATTACAATTCTCATTAGTTTAAAGCAATAACGCCCCTTCTTCTGAGACTCAGGCCTTCCCTATGGATGAAATTACATCGAATCGAATCAGAGAATGGGCCATGAATCACTACGCACGCCCAACGCATATTGGTGGGTATAAATAACTGCAGATGCTGTCGGAAGCAACGGCTTAACAAGCCCTCCGAAACAAAAATTTTGGGTCACCCATCCCATGACCGACCATTGCGAAGCTTACTTAACAACCTTATCGCAGAACAAAAGCTGTGACGGGTGCGATGCTTAGGCAAATGAATAAAAGGCTGACTAAGCTTGAGAACTTGATTTAATTTAATAGTAACAATAACCCCTTTTCTTCGGGTCTGATGAGTACCTAATTTCACTTCATTACATTTATCTTGAATTCTAACTTGTAAACATAATAAATAAATTTTAACATTTGTTACAATAAATTGTTTAATGTTTCTAACTCAAGGAATTTTCAAAGACGGACATTCATAGAGCATATTAGACATGCAGAAACTTAGGACGAAATAGACCTCATAGTTCATTAAAAAAAATGTTATAAAAATTTATACATCCATACAATCAAAAGTTCTCAAACCTTAATGTCAACAATTAACTTCAAAATCATTGTAGAAAATTTTGACATTCTGTGGTAACCCTCATTAGTTAAGTAATCTATACACTCACCATCTGTAATGCTTTCGTGGCGGTGCTGTATGCATCGCTCTACTCGTTTCTCAGCTTGATCCTCATCAGAGAACACGACTGTAGCACGTACGTACAATGGTTTGGCAATAATTCCCTCCCATGAGAATTGCACGGCGAAATTACAGTTTATGTCCACATATATTTTGTTCAATTGGCTAGAATACTAAAAAAATTTAAACAAAATACAGTCAAACACATTAAATATAGTTTACCAATGTATCGAGAAGAAGGCTAAATTGCAATGTGTGATAAATTTCGGTCAGTCAGCGTTTCAAGTAGCGTGCCATCAGGCGTGAGTTATATTACCATTTTGGTAAAAGCTAGTGTCACTGATACACATAAGTTATCTAGTATTGCCAAGTGGGTATCACTTAAATATTTATTTATTAGTCACCATCAGTGCATGCGATATATTGTATATATTTATAATACTAGATATAATACAGCCTTTCCCAAAGTAAGCGATAATGCCTCTTTGCGGGTGTTGCAGGCCTAAAAGGGGGCAGTAAGAGAGGGCGTTAACAATTTCATCTAGGAGGATTCTTCGACACCGAGAGTATACCGACTGAGTTCTCGACTCTTGACTACAACTTGACAAAACAAAACATCAAATAATATTAATTAAGAGTAATTCGGTTCGATATGTAGTTTATATACGTAAATTTGTCCTGTTCTATTGAATAAATAAAATAAATATCTTGATTTAAAAGTCTTGTTTAGAATGAATATTTAATCTCCGCTAATATAGCTCCAATTTATAGTGGTTTTTAAGCAGGTGAAAAAAATTATATAATTTATTCTCAAAGTGGGCAGTAGACGAAATATATTTATATATTATATCTTGGAATAATCTATAGTATTGACAAGAAGAAAATGCTCTTTTGTTTCCCAAAAACATTGGTAGGCTGCATCGCCCGTGCTGAGTGACCGATTACTGTTATAAATTCATTTTCATTGATTATGTGGAACTCACCAAATACTTCTTCCTGTTGACATCAGCGCTATTAATTTCCACTTTGAAATTATGATTATTTTGAATAGGTGTCCGAACAGGAGGTCCTATTATTAATGCTGGCTGCAACTAAAACAGGTCAATTAATAAAACGCTCCTGGAATGGATTTGGGTATTTTTATCAAACGTTTCAGATTATTTTAGGTGTCAATGACCTCTCTTTCAATAATTAAAAGTGTGTTGCATTAGCAAACCAAGTCTTTTTAGGGTTCTGTAGGAAAAGGGTGAAACCGGACCCTATGCCCAAAACTCCGCAGTCCATCCGTCATTCTGTCTGTCACCAGCCTTTGTTTCATGAACCATAATATATAAAGAGTATTCCCACATAGCAAATGTTTTTATTTATCGTTATTGGCACGGAACTCTCACTCGGAAAGTTTTTTTAAATAGGATAGATTTCTTCCATGGTTCCACATATTGCAAATATATCTATGTATAAAATAAATATATATATTTATATATAACATTTTTTTTACCAGCTGTTTTCACGCGACTTCGCACGTGTAAATTATGGCCTATGTCAACCCCGTATGATGTAGATACCCGTAGGTGAAAGAATATTTGAAATCGGTTCAGTGGTTTCAGAGCCTATTTGATGCAAACAGATAAACAATCAAATCTTTTCTCTTTATAATATAAGTAAAGATATGAAACTCTATAGTATGCTTCAGACTCACAAAGATGCTGTATATTATTACTTCAACAAGTCGATAATCTTGTACTTACAGGAATGTCTGGCACATCTGGTGGTATGTAATTGAATTGCATGTGAGATTCCAATGTGACATCATCATCTAGATTTGGAGAATTCATATCACCAGTCATAATTTGTATAGTGTCCAATTCCTGAAATCTGAAAATGTTATAATTAAGTGAAATAGGCCTGATAATGGAAAATAATTAATAAAACTTCCTTATTAATATGTTGGAGGACGTTTTGTATGAAAATTCAAAACATTTTTAATAAAGTTTATTTATATTTAACTGAAGTATGTAGGTACCATTTTGTTTGTTAACTTTTTACTATCTTGTTGATAGGGAGATGATCCCATTGCTATAGAAATTTTGGGGCTTCTGATCAAAAAACCGCGATAAGTGGTTTTGGCAGTCCTCACGTGATGTTTACCTGGCACTGCCTAAAGAATTCTGAAGAGACTGAAACAGATGGAAATCTGAAGGTGCAATTTCAGGACTATATGGCGGATGCATTAACACCTTCTGGCCAAATTTAACCACAATTGCAAAAGTACTTAACAAAATAGATACATATTAAATTTATTACACAAACTGTGCACTTATTTGCATGAAATATTTAACTACTTCTATTTTCAATAACATTACTTATTAGTAATGCCTTAAATGATCAGGTAAATGGATGCTCCGTTGTACAGAATGACTGTAAATTGAGTTTATTACTTCTTTTCAATAATCAATTTATTTTAATTTATAATTACATAATTTTAAATAGCTTGAATATTTTTGCAGTGGTATTTTTGGATTCTTGTGTCCACTATCCCAGCTTTGTAAGACCTTTGTAACCAACAACAGAAAAGCTATTTCATTGTTATTTTTGCCTTCACATTTTAAATGGTGATGGGTATTATAAAATACTTACGGAAAATCAGGAAAACTGAACTGCGCTTGACTGGACATCTTCTTTACCTATAACAAAGAACTTATGATAATAAACATATAAATAACAATAATAAACAAACACTTATGTTAAGATAAGGTACAAAGTAAAAAAAAATATACTATTATTCAATCTATTTTTAATGTTAAGATTTTTATCAGTAAATTATCATGACTTTAAATAATTAAAAAAAATAAAAGACTTGTACTATATTCATTATGGCATTAGACAAAAGTTAAATAAGGTTCTTTTTATGGTAAACTTTGTGACAAAATATTAACAATTATGTAACTCTTAAGACTGACCGCTATTTTGCTACATATCCACTTAAATACCAGCTGTTATACTTAACTATTATCATTTAAGCTATCTATTAAGCAAATTTATGAGTATTTGACTAACTTAAAAAATTAATAACTATTACAATAAAAAGTGTTCTTCGTAAAGAACCTAAAGAAGCAGGGTTGGATAGTTTCGGCATGACACTATAACTCTACCAAATTTAAAACATTGCCTAGCCCTTCAAATGTTTCAGCTGTACAACTTTTTAATTTTGTCAGACTGAGATGTATTCATAATAGTCAAAATATGTAATCTGGGATAGTCGTTTATTGTGAATGCTACTGCCTTTCCTGTTGTTTTACCGTTTTCCATGATTGAGTTGTTATTGTTGTTTTAGTTGTTATCTTTTTGATGTTAAGTTTTGCTAAATATGGACGATTCCGGTGCAGCCCGAGTGGCCTACAACAATTACCTTTGACATTTCAGGAAGTTTTTCCAATGTCTTAATCAATTTTCTGATAATATCTGAATACATGTTATAAATGTAACAATAAAAAAATCATTTTGTTTACCTTTCTTTCCTGGGCAAAGAATTCTATTCTAATTATATACGCTTACAATTAGAATTTAGCAAAACAACAGATAGATAGTTTTAGTTCCATGTTGGATTGGGAGTAAAAGACAAATTTAGAAAATGCTAGCCTCATCGCAACCTAGAGAAAATGGAAAATTGCCCAATTCTTTCAGACAATGTTCAAAGTTTCAACAAAACTATTATATATATTTTTAAATTTATCTTGAAAATAAAATGTTCTGCACTGCTGCTTCTGTGATCCTCTTTTTTCTAATGTTATACTGAATGGAGTATAGGACCTATGAAAATGGATGATGCAACAGTATGTAATAACAATAGATTATCTTTAATCATTTAACTCATATTGTACTATGAGTACATACATTAACATACTTATCTACCTTATCATCAATGATCTAATTGTTTGAACACATTGATTTACAATTTAAGTACAATTCTGGAAAATCTTAGATAGGTAAGTGTCAGATACCACTATAAAATCTTATAAAGAACCTATGTGATACAACTACTATTACGCTTTGACGCAGAAATTTCGCGATAACCTAAATAAATAAAAGCAAAATTAATAACTGAAAGCTTTAATTACATTCATAAAATTTTGACAAATGAATTCTATGTAATGTGCTGTATATAAAACACTGATGTTGGCTAATGAACGATAATAATTTTGAAAACAAAATCTATTTTTTTAGCCATGAACTGATAATGAAACTAAGACGTAAATGCAACGGTAAACTTTCAGGATTTTTTTTATAACCTAAATAAATATTTACTTGAAGCATTAACGAAATTAACTAATAAAGCTAAAACTCTTTATAAGACAGAATAAAACCCTTATGTTCGAACATTGGTACTACGATGCTTACATTTAGAAATTTACTTCTAAAATATACCGAACACTGCGATTGTGCTAAGTAAGATAATTATTACAAACACCAAAACTTCAGCGTCAACTATATTAATTAGCTTTACAAACCCTTTGCTAGATCGATACTGTTCTGATAAAAACCAAAAACACTGTTAATTATTATCAAAAATAAATACTTTTTTTAACAAAACACAACTTTGCAAAATGTCCAACATTAGTACCAGTACCAATACCAAAGAATAAAAAAACCAAAGAGAAAAATAACATTAAGAAATAAACCATAGAGAAAATTAGGGATTCCAATCTCGGTTTGATTTTCTCTATAATCAATTAATTTAAATTTGATATTCGATATTTTGAATCGATTTTAAAGCACCTAGATTGATATCAAGATCGTCGTTGTTTACAAAGAATGTATCTTTTATTTTCCTCATTTTAAAAAACATCGGCATAATCAAAATGTAATTATTACCAGTTTACATTTATTTATTTTTAAATGGTACACAAACAGATCATAATCTAAAGAGAAACCTACAAACATACATATTATTTAAAGTATTTGGACTAGACTATAATCCAAAAACTGTGCACACAGCATGAACAGTATTAACTTACAACACGAACAGATTCTTAAATAACTTTTAGTATACAGTAAATTTGGCTGATATTATTTTTTTATATTTTAAGAATTTGTTATTGAAAATATCAGTTCCATCATTACGATTCAATTTGCCATTACGATAATTTATATAGAAAAGTATATGTTTATGTACATCGATTCTATTGCAGTAGATCGAAAAGCTTTAAAAAAATATTAGAAAAATTTGCAAGCAGAATAAGCAACAAAACATGAATTTGAAGTAAGAAAAAGAAGTACACGATATTATTAATTCATCTCGTATCTATATATTAACCTTTTTTTATCCGATATACCAATCGTATTGAACTAAACACTTATTCCATTTCTTTTTTCTACTGATTCCTTTAATTATATTGAAGAATATAATAAGAAAATAGGAAAAAGGGACAAGCATGTGCAGTGAATTTTACTTACCAAATAAAATACTTTTTATCTTAGCTTTTTATATTTTAATGTTTATAACATCAAAGTTTAAGACAATGAGGACGTATTAAAAAAAACGAAAGCACTAAAAAGCACCTCCACTAGATGGCGACTCTAGCAAAAGTTTATTTTTGCAGGAAACGAATAGACCAAAGACAGTCAATTCCGTTCCTTTTAAGTAACATATTAAAAAACTGAAATTTGAAAAGTTCTAATAATATAATATAATATAATAATAATAATAAACGGCGTAGGGATGTGACGAACCCATCGCCCACTGATGCGGCGAGTTTAGTGAGAGGATTAGCCGTATCAGTGCAATTAGTCCGCACCTAAAATGTTACTCATAGGCGGGAAGTGTTGGTCCGTGCCTCTTTTCCATCTGCCGTCATTGTGGGTGCAATCTATCTTAACAGACCCATCAGGGAATTGGGCGACCCCTGATGTATCAAGCCTATTTTAGTACTATGATGAGTGGAGTGAACAGAGCGCGTATAGGGCCGCTGCCTAGGGGTCGCCAGGGCTCGCCCGGAGCTGGCGCCGGGTCGAGCAGAATGCGAGCCAGCCAACCCCGAGGGCCGGCACGACCATCTCGCCGGCCCACTCCACCATCACCACCAGCTGGCTTGGGTCCGGCAGGGTCTTCACAGACCCAGCAATCGGTCCCCGCCGCTGGTGGAGTACGCCGCATGAGGTGTACATGAGGTCTACTCCACAAAACGAAAACTTCATGCGCGCGTACTACAGGACGACAGAGACAGTGTCGGCGGAACGGGTTATCGGGCAGGATTGCTTGTTGCGTTTCATACCCTGGAGCCTTCGCTGTCCGTTACGGCGCAAAATTTGGCAGATCGAGTTCGCTTTATTCTTCGGAGAGAAATCTTTACTCCAGCAGAACTCGGTCAACTACGACTCGAGGTTGTGTCGTCTATGAGTCTCGGTAGTAGAAGGCAGAGCAGAAGGCGGAGTAGCATTGCGCGCAGCACCATATGCGACCCCAATGCTACAGTGGTACAGAAGGGTAGACGACGCAACCGCCCAGAATTTAGAGCAGATCAGGGGATTACTTGAAGAGGCGATTCTCGAATTTCGCGAGCTCCCACTTGAGAAAATCCCGAGGATACCCCTAAGTCGTAAAAATCGGGATGTCGTTGAGGCAGTAAGCCAAATGCTTTTTCCATACTTGGAAGAAAGCGGCAGTCTCAGTGATACCAACTCGATCCTATTTGGCGCCGCATTCGCGGTCTGTCGATTCATCGGCGCCAAAGTGCCCACTGGGAGAGCTGAACGGCATACCAATGCCCGGCACAGCGAGACTCCGGCGTGGCGTAAGAGGATTGTGAAACGTATTGCTGAGACCAGAGTCCTCATCGGCAAACTGAATAGTTTCAGGTCAGGCAATACGAGGCCGAGGGTGATGCGTTTCGTTACAAACAATGGCAATGGCGGGGATAGATTTCAGTCTTGCAGACCCCGCCTCAATGCGAAAAGTGTCGGATCGCATTGATGACCTGAAACAGAAAATTGCGGCTTGGGGAAGTCGGGTATGGCGGTACTCGGAGAGAGGGGCAAGGTTTCGCCAGAATCGTCTCTTTGGGAGTGACCAAACGAAGTTTTACCGTACATGGGAGACACGAGCTGGCCCCTCCACTGGCCAAGGACCGAATGTCACAGATGTCATTGTCTTTTGGCGGAACATCTGGTCCCGGCCTATGGAGCACATAGAGGGCGAATGGATGGCGCCTATAGAGGAAGCGTGTGCATCGATAGATGCGATGAACCCCATCACCATAGAGTCGGATGACGTGTTGGCTGCGGTCCGTAAAGCTCCGAACTGGAAAACTCCAGGGATTGACGGACTGCACCACTACTGGTTGAAGAGTTTCCGCTCATGCCACGCATTCCTGAAAACCCTGCACAACCGCGAGATACACAGTCTCCGTAATTACTTCCTGGCGAAATCGGAATCCAGTGAGTTGCATAGAGATGTCAAAGCATGTGATGTAGGACTAACCCCTCTCTCTTTGGCCACCGAGCAATGGCGAGAACCAGCAGTACTTAGCACCACTGACCGAGAGGCCGTTTGGAGGGAGAAGGAGTTGTACGGTAGGTTCTACAAGGCGCTACACGAGCGTCACGTGGATCCGAAAGCCTCCGTGTATTAGCTGCGCTTCGGGGACCTCTTTGGGGAAACCGAAGGTTTTGTCTGTGCAATACAGGACCAGGTCATTATGACCCGAAACTACCGGAAGTATATCCTGAAGGATGGGACAGAGGACGTTTGTAGAGCCTGTCACCAGCCCGGTGAGGCACCCAGGCATATTACTTCCGGTTGTCCTGTACTGGCTAATACCGAGTATTTGCACAGACATGACCAAGCAGCCAAAATACTCCATCTCGAGCTAGCCTTCAAATACGGCCTCATAGGCGAAAAGGTGCCGTACTATAAGTATGTGCCGGAGCCAGTTCTTGAAAACGACCGCGCTCCATTGTACTGGGACCGGTCCGTCATTACGGACAGGACTGTTCCTGCGAACAACCTGATATCGTACTGATGGACCGGGCGGAATCTCGGGTGTTCTTAGTGGATGTCACCGTCCCATTCGATGAAAACCTCGTGAAAGCCGAATCAGATAAAAAACTTAAATATCTGAACCTGGTGCACGAGGTTATCGATATGTGGCGAGTGTCATCCACTGAGATCATCCCAGTCGTAGTGTCAACGAATGGCCTAGTCCCAACTTCTCTTCACGGCCATCTGAAGAGGTTGGGACTCCGTGACGGACCAATGATTGCGAGGCTCCAGCGGGCGATCTTGCTCGATAACGCAAGGATCGTCCGCCGTTTTCTCTCTTTGTCGCCCTGACCCCCGGTCGTCTGGCCTCCTCTACCGGGGGGAATCCTCCCACCCCTCGAATCGTCGAGGGGTCAGGAAGAGTAAATTTTTAAATACAAAAATAATAATAATTTATTTTCTTCCACAAATGTTCTTAAAAATTACATCAACAAGTGCCAAAGTAAACAGTCATGTGGAAGACTGGAGCCAGACTTTTCAAGTCACCAGGCTTCTCCTCCGATATTGCAATTTTTCTAAATCGCACTTTTTTTTAAACTTAAATTAACAAATTAATCATGATTGTCATGCAGCTCACCAAACAATATTATTACTTTAGTCAAAACAAAACTATAGTAAATATTTTTTATATTTTATAAATCAAAATTATGTATGTTGTAAATACATAAAATGTATGATAATCGTTCATTAAATATCAGACAGCATCACCCATACACATTGCTTAGATCTTACTGAGGTAGCTAAGGTATTCGTTCTATGGAATTTAGGCACGAGACAATGGCATCACCCTGAAACCAGCGTGCCACCAAATCGGCTGCAAACTCGTCAAACTTTACATTATACTTTATTTCAAGAGATTTTCAGTTTCCTCGTATGTTAATGCATTTAACCAAGAAGAGACAGTCTTTTTGCAATTTATGTTATTTTTGTAACTAATCTGTAATATTTTATTAATTTTATTATATAGACGTCCACCTTGGTAGCAAAAGAATCATATACATACAGCGTTTTGTTTACAAACTCTAACAGTTGAGATGTCGTTGTTTTTAATATCTATCAATTTATGCTGTTTAAGTATTATTGTTAGAATATACAATTGACTTACGGTGAGCATGCCAGCCTCCTTATATAGTGTCAACGTCGGATATAAAACAGGCCTGAAAAAACTAACTTTAAGAACGTAACATTGAGCTCTTTCCAATTCTATTAGGTTAGTTTTAGCGGCGCCTCCCCAGGTTGAGATGCAGTATGTAAGTAATGATTGGCATAGTGATTGGTAGATATTTATCATCAACTTCTTATTGGCCACCCCCCGGAGATTGCGAAAAACAAAAGTTAATTTTCGAATTTTTGCAGACAGACTGGCTATGTGCTCACTAAAATTGAGATTCTGGTCTATTACTACTCCCAAATATTTGACAGACTTTACTTTATTTATGGATAAACAATTGCACTCATTAAGTGGTGGGAAAAAGCAAACATGAGCCTTAATTTTCAGTGACTAAGAACACCCGAGATTCCGCCCGGTCCATCAGTACGATATCAGGTTGTTCGCAGGAACAGTCCTGTCCGTAATGACGGACCGGTCCCAGTACAATGGAGCGCGGTCGTTTTCAAGAACTGGCTCCGGCACATACTTATAGTACGGCACCTTTTCGCCTATGAGGCCGTATTTGAAGGCTAGCTCGAGATGGAGTATTTTGGCTGCTTGGTCATGTCTGTGCAAATACTCGGTATTAGCCAGTACAGGACAACCGGAAATAATATGCCTGAGTGCCTCACCGGGCTGGTGACAGGCTCTACAAACGTCCTCTGTCCCATCCTTCAGGATATACTTCCGGTAGTTTCGGGTCATAATGACCTGGTCCTGTATTGCACAGACAAAACCTTCGGTTTCCCCAAAGAGGTCCCCGAAGCGCAGCTAATGCACGGAGGCTCTCGGATCCACGTGACGCTCGTGTAGCGCCTTGTAGAACCTACCGTGCAACTCCTTCTCCCTCCAAACGGCCTCTCGGTCAGTGGTGCTAAGTACTGCTGGTTCTCGCCATTGCTCGGTGGCCAAAGAGAGAGGGGTTAGTCCTACATCACATGCTTTGACATCTCTATGCAACTCACTGGATTCCGATTTCACCAGGAAGTAATTACGGAGACTGTGTATCTCGCGGTTGTGCAGGGTTTTCGCACTGAGCAGCCCACGACCGCCGTTCTTCCTCGGGATATACAGCCTCATCATTGACGATCTCGGGTGGTGCATCCTATGGAGTGTCAAAGTTGTGCGGACTTTCCGATCCAGGGCGTCCAATTCGGTCTGAGTCCATCTGAGTATGCCAAAGGTGTACATTAGGACTGGCATGACCCAACCGTTAATGGCCCTGACTTTGTTGACGCCTGACAGGTAGCTTTCAAGCATCTTAGTTAGGCGTCCCAAAAAGGCCTCCTTAACGGTGGACGTGAAACAATACGTCCGCCATATGGACACCCAGATTCTGTGACATACCCAGATACCGGTATGTATCAGTTTCGGAGAGGGTACGGATGGTGGATCCATCCGGTAGGTCCACTTGGGTGGAATCACTTATCCGACCTCTATCCACATGGATAACCGCACACTTGTCCAGCCCAAACTCCATGCTGATGGAGCTACTGAAATCCTTTGTGATTTTCAGCAACACCGCCAGCCTCTGAGCATTTGGAGCAAGCAACTTGATATCATCCATTTAGAAGAGGTGAGATATTTTGAACAATCCTCTCTTCAACTGAAAACCTGTCCCTGGTTTATCCAGCAAAGTGCTAAGCGGATTTAGGGACAGGCAAAACCAAATTGGACTCAGACAATCGCCCTGGAATATACATTGTTGTAGAAGTTCTTTCGTTATATACGAAGCAATCTCCTTCTTAGTCTGTGGGCGCACCGCTATTGGATGCTGTATAGTAGTAAATATATAGGAAGCGATTTAATACGATTTCACTCGACTCGGTGTGGCGAGCCTAGTGACACTGGTTTACACTCTCTACAGGCTAAGGACTCCTCCCAGGATACGTTTAAAAAGGCTGATGTATGGGATAATGAGTGAGTTTTTAAAGAAAGTAGTTTGTTCGTACTACTTTCGTTCGTACTACGTTCGTAGCTCGTTTTAGTATAAGGTCTTTGTATTATTCATTAGCAACTTTTTTAAATGAAAAAAAAATCGCTCTCTCTAATCGATTCAATTAATTAAATGACAGTCACATCACTATACAAAAAATGAGAAAAAAAATAAATGATCCCCGTCTCGACTTCGCTTCACTTGTGTTTTTTTCTAATTTTACTGTCATTAGAACGATAATTTGATGCATATTTTGTATGCAACAGTTACTTTGAGTACACATCGTGCATTATTATGTTTCAATTCCTCGCAGGGAGTGCTCTGAGTGCTTCTAATAACTAAAATCAATAACAATCAGTGACCAACAAAGGTACGCTTGTTTGCTTTTGCTGAGCATAACCTGTGTTTTGTGCTGGCGTCCGGTTGGCGTCTTTCATACTTTACGAATTGCAGCTGAACAAGTCATATTTCGCCGTTATGCCTACGCAGAAATTCATTTTTATGCTGTCATATTGAGTGCGTTACTAAGGCATATTTGTTTTTAGTTACCAAGATGAATTATGAAGCGGAAAGAGCTATGAACCAGAAACGGCTGCGTATGGAGGGTGAGCCGGGTCATGGAGTCGTCCAAGGGAATGGATTGCCGTTAAATTATATCGGTGTGTTATGTTAAGTGCGGGTTTTGAGTTTAGTTGCGCGGGAAAGACGTGTTGTGTTAATAAATTATGTTGTTATAGATAATGGTCACCAGATACCGTACCAGCCGTATGCTGGTGCATACAATACACATTATCCACCTCCTGACGCATTTGCGGCGTATGGGCCTCCACCTCCTGGAGGTTATGCTCCACAGAACTTGTCATATGCACCCCCGGCACATCAAAACTATCCCCATCACCAAAGCTTCCCTCCACAGCAACCACCACAAGCCCAGTTGCATATGCAATCGCACATGGGTAAGTTATGTAAGTAAATGGGCTGATAACCAATTTTTATTTTATTTTCAATTGACTTATAAAAATATATTCTGAAAATTTCTAAAATTATGCTGACATAATTGGTTTTAGTTCAAGGATATGGAGATGTGGGAGTTCATAAACCGGCATGGCCACCTCAACCACACCTGCTGCCTCCAATTGACACACAAAAACCACTGGATGTAAAACAATTAAAACCAGAAATTAAATTAGAACCAACAGACTCACAAAAACGACCACATCCAGAAAATGAGATGATGGTATGCTCATCATTATCTAATAATTAAGTCTATTCTTATTTTGATAGAGGAAATTAATTTATTTTTATTCAATTATAAATGTAATCAAAGGTTGCATTAAAGAAGAAAAAGAATTAGATTATTATGTTTCTTGTCAGAATATCAGTAATGGTAATGTTTCTTTTATTTTTCAAAATATTTTTCATTTTAGGGAGGTGATTTGGATCAGCCTAAAATTAAAATCAAGACAGATATATTTAAACCTGACGATTTAGCTCCTAGACCTGTTGTCGAAAAACCTCTTGGTGAGTCCAATAAAAAAACAGTGAATCATATAAAAAATTTAATGCAGCAACTGTATCATATTTTTGGAAATAATTATTTAAAAAAATTTAACTACCTGAGTATATACCAATACTAAGTAAATATATATTTAGAAGCTATTTTCATATTAATGTTTAAAAAGTTTAAGCTTTAAATTAAAACTACCTTGTGTGTTCATAAGTTATGAACCAAAGTTTAACTGAAAAAATAAAATGTAACTGGCTGTTATTTTTTTTTTACTGATTTTAAATTTGGAATGTTAACAATTAGTTTATTTGTATTGAAAATTCATTTGTTTATATTTTGTCATGATGGAGGGAACGAAATAATCAAGTGCAACAGTAATTTCGCTATTTAAGGAGGAATAAAACCAATGCAGAATTTCTGCAAGCTGAGAAGTTTTCCTGTAAGCCATAACTTTGTCTATTTATTTAGTACTGCCACATTTATTAAAACATTTAAATATAACTTTTTCGAAATAAAAAAATCTGATATATGTCACAATTAAGGCATGCATAGCATTCGCAGTCAATTAATTTGAAGTCAGATGAGTTTGTGATATAAAATAATTAATGAAAAATTAAAATACATTAAAATACATTAAAGTTATTTAAAACATTATTATTAACTAAATAAGATTGATAAGCATAAATTAAAAAATCAATAATAAAAAACCATCCACAATACAGCAGTACAAAGAGACAAGCTCTCTACAAGATCACCAAAGGAGTGTTCGGCCATGGTCTGTGAGGAGCCTATGAACAAAAATACATCCGAGAGTGACTACATCGAAATCCATGTCACACTCTGAAGAAACTCGCTCGGCAAACTAATATTTTGCGCGTTTCAGTGAACAGAATACTGAAATATGATCTGAGGTAAAGGTCTACAGCTGTAGAAAAATTCACTTTTTAAACAATCGTCTTCATAAGTTACGATGCGAACGTAACTTATGAAGACGATTGTCCATTGCTGCTGAGGATACATGATGCCAGGAAGATACTCTTCACTGATGAGAAAATTTTACTGTTGAATAGAAGTTCAACTGACAAAACAATAAAGTGTACGCTAAAAGTAGCAAGGATGTCCCAGCTTCTGCATGGAATGACTCGTGCACTCATCATCTGGCTAGTATGATATCCGGGCACCATACCACCACCATACCAGTGGCTCCATTTCTGACAACAAGGTGTCAAGGTGAAAGCCAAGAATTATCAAAGTGACATTTTAGAGCCCATGGTGAAACCCCTGTCTTATATGTTATTTCACAATAAGGATTGGGTTTTTCAGCAAGACTCGACGCTATCCCATGAGGCAAAAAGCACCCAAGCTTGGTTGAGGGAGAATGTCCCAGCCTTCATCGCGGCGGACAACTGGCTCTCCTCCAGCTGCTATCTCAACCTGCTGGATTATTCTTTATAGACTGAATTAGAGCTCAGGGCCTGCCTAAAGTCCCATCTAAACTTGGAGTCCCTGAAGCGAACCATGTTGTAGAAGTAAAGCGAATTCCACTAGAAAAGATTCGTGCCATCATTGATGACTGGCCAAATCATCTAAGAGCCTGTATTAAAAAAGGGCGGTCATTTTGAATAAAATATATTTTTATTGTTGATTATTATCTATTTAATAGTTACTGAAAATTTTTGAAATATAAGTTAATTATGTATTAATAAAGTTATGCAACATTTATTTTGTTTCAAAATTTATGAACACACAAGCTACTAACACTAATATCCAATATGTCAAACATTTCTTAAAGCTAATAAGAAACAGTAGGTTGTGATGGACTTAGAAATTTTATATCTAACAATGAATTCAAATTGGGTTGGACAAAATAAAATATATGTGAAGTATTTTTTTGCATGAATGAACCACAATTTCTATATATTATTTAAATAAATTAAATGTTTACTTATACTTACGATATAATGCTGGTTCTACTTTCTCTGTTATCCATTCTGTCTGTCTGTATTCCATAGAATTTCCATCGTCAAAGAAATAATGTTTACAAAGAAAATTTGTTATTATTAGATTGTATAAAACGGGTATTAACGCGATATATTGATAGTTAGGTTTTTCACCTACCTATATTTCAAACCAACACACACGGATAGATACCTACACGCAACGTCTCATCGCCATCCCCGGCATTTGCAATCTGTGGCGACTTCATTGAAAAACAGACCTTATGCCCTGTGGGACCCTGAACACGTAGGACAAGATTTGGCCCATGTTCAGCAGGTACTGAAGAAAAATGGATATCAATTGCACGGATGATAGAAGCAGCCGAGACTAAAGAGTAGACATCCCGAAGCTAAAAGACAACTAGCCTATATGCTTTATGTAATGGAGAAACGGAGAGGATTGATGGTTTTAAATTGTCAGCATATTGGAATCCAGTGATAAAAAACTTTTCGTGGTTGTCGGACTACCATAATACGGCTGCCATACAGAATAGGGATTCTGTTAGTGTCGTGTGTGACGGTATCTGGGGAAAGTCGGTTGAAGTGGATACCTCTTTAGAAGAGAAGACGGAGCATTGCAGTAACAGTCAGTTCGTGACCACTGCCCGTTTGTAATCCGGACGACTACTAACGTCACTGGCGAAAAGTCATGGGTTTATGTTCCGTCTCAGACTATGAGGGACAAAGTGGATTTTCTAAGCATTTTTCATTTAGAATATTTTTCAGTTTAGCATTGTAAATGCAAAATTGATCAAATATAATCAAAACATTTTACGATTATTATTCAAAACCACATTTTGAAAATTATATTCTTCAAAAAGTTTTCTAATTAAATTTAGCTTTTCTGTATTTTTTTTATGGATCAACAGAATATTTAGATGTGGTTCATACTTTCATATACATAAGTTTGGGTTATACAGGGAGGAACAAAATGACCGACACAGACGAAAGTTTCAAGTTAGGTTACATGCAAACGTTCATTTTATTTGACAAATATTTAAAAATAGAGGAGGTGTAAAAATGGAGTAAAAATTTTAAATTTCTAAGTGTTGACAGCCCTTTAACGCGCATGCGCCATATCGATTGTGCGCAGATTACAACGGACCGCGAAATACATTAATTTAATTATTTACCGATATCTTAATGATAGTCGATGCTGAAAATGTTCAATTCTTCTCTGAAGACAGCTAAGCACGCTCTTTTGCATGCCAGTGTATGCACGCGCAAAACACATCACATTTCACACAAAACTAAACACAATCTTCACTAAACTAAACTTAACACTCAAGACGAACACTCTAGTATTTTATTATCAAAAATTCAATTAAAAATGCACTAGAACAAAACAAAAATCGACAAAAAAAGACGCTTCGCAGCGGTGCGTCGGCGGCGATGCGCAACAACATTCCAGCGCAAAAGGTCGGCGGCGACTGAGCGGCCAGAAAACACCGACAGAATAATGGGTGGGGATTTGATATCGAGGGACGAACTCGGTTCACATTTTTTTTATTCATTTTTGATATCACGCATTTTTTAATGTTCTTTTTAAATGCTATTTTAATAACAAATTCCTCAATGTTTTTAAAACAAAGTTCATTTGTGTTAATGATGAATCGCTGGAAGATTTGTGAGTTTATCGAGTTTAATTAACGATCCCGTTGTTAAAGGAGTATTACTCCATTCAAACAATTTTTGTGGAGAACTGCTCTTTTAAAATAACGTAGGTTAATGTTAGACTGACCTCTCTACAATAATTTAGGAAATTTTACACTCGATTTCTTAATTGAGAATTTAAAGTTAAACGTCTCAAACTAACATCACTTAGTTTTCGTTTCCGATTTTAGTTTTTTGATGATCAGTTGATAGCAGTTTGATAAAACTAGGACTATTTGACTTGTGAAATTAAAAAAAGCTTAGGTTATTGAGAATAAGCAGTAGAAATTTTCTACTTTCAAATCAGAAACCGGCTGTTAGTCTGTAAATCGATTTAAGCATTTTGACTGCCTTGTTTATTGATTGTCTGGTAGAATTTGCATGAAAGCAGTCTTATAAATCACAAACTAGTTTATTTCGTTTTAAGAAATGAAGAAGTCAATGACCGATTAAAAACTTTTCCTTAGTACGTCCCAAAAACAGCTGACTCAGGGTTGAAAACACTCTTTTTTTTACAAAAACTTTGTATATATATTTCTCCGAAACTATTTGACCTAGACTTATAATTTTTTTTACATCATATTAAAGACAAATAGTACTCTCTAGGAACCTCGGGAGTGTCGGTCGTTCTGTTCCACCGAGCAAAAGTGTCGTAATGGAGACAGACATATTTACTAATTTTATATTTTATTGAATGGTTTGAATGTTATAATCTATATTTGTCTTAATAAAAAATGAGGACTAACTTTTGTATCAGATTTAAACCATTATCCAACCAAAATTTGTCAACCCTTCTCAACATAATGTTTTCTCTTTTGTCATCCCAATCGTATCAGTAATGGGTTTAGCACTAATTTTTATACGAGACAGTTCCAAATATGGCATATTTCTTTTTCAGATGTTGCTCAGAAACCTCTGGAGCCGCATAAACCTCCAGAACTTCAAAACAGAGGTCAGAATGAAGATTATTGTTTTTTTTAGTACTCTTTAAGCTTTTTTAATTTTTTTAATTGATTATCATTACAATTAGCCTATTACACTTCCCACTTCTGGGTTCAAAGATTATTTTGACTTTGACTTTAATATTAAACCTCCGCATTTCTCTAAGAAGACATGAGAGAAATTGCTTAGTTGAAAGTTTAATGATTCTTGATATTTAATAATTATTTACAGATGATTTACAAGTGAGCGGAGAGAACAAACCCAGTGACAAGTCTGCAGGTTAGTTTCAATTCAAGATAGTGAATTAAATAGGTGGAGCACTACGGTGGTGCTATAAGTATATATTTACGTTGAAATTGTGTGACCATTGTTGCAGAATCGTGTAAGGTTGACGGCGTGAATGAAGGTGTCGTTGATAATCAACGTCCTGCAGAGGCGTGCGCGGTCCTGGATAAATCGTATGTTGTTAGATTTATTATTATTATTTTTAGGTTATCAATGTCCGATCTAGGTTTTTTCAGTTCCGGACAAATATTGAAGAGATTGCTATCTAGCAATAAGGCCGCCTTTTGCATTGTATTTATTTCTTTCTCTCGCTGTGTAATTCTTATTCTGTCCCGTGTTGTGTGCAATAAACCATATTATTATTATTATTTTTATATTGTTCGTCTTCTTTTTTGCTATCCTTCTCTATCTATTCTACCTCCTTATCTATTGGTTTATTATGGTATGAAGTCTGTTGGTTTCCCTACTGCTTGAGTAAAGGTCTCGAAAAGGGAAAATGGGCCATGACCCACCACTCAGGCCCAGTGCAGATTGGTGGGTGTTAATTAATGTAGATGTAATGACACCGCTGCCTTCCAAAGTACGGAAAAGCTCGCGATAGTATATTTCTGGTCACCCATCCTAATGCAAATTGCGGGCCATTGCAAAAGTTGCGTGACTTCCGCGTTCTAGAACGCGCTTACCACTGCGCTGGCGAGCAACTTAGAACAAGTTAAAAAAAACGAATTTTATCTGGCTAGTAAAAATGGTAAATTTTATAAAAATTTTTTTAGATATTTTTATGAAAGTGCTATCTGACAGTCTGGCTCTCTCAATTTTTCTTCTCTGGTCACTCCTCCAGCTTACCTTACTGTTTATTTTATTTTTTTATTTTAACTTATTAGGGACAACAACCGGTTAACACAATACATGGTAATACAATTATATGTTAAAATAAACATGTAATAAATAAGTTATTTTGAAACCCACACTGCTATCCACATGTTACTAAGTTGTGTTAAACTCGATATAAAACAAAGCATCTAAAATAAGGTTGTTGCATTTAAAATATTGAATTATCAAAAAGAAAGTTGTTTAAGTTGAATATAGACAATCTATGTTGCATTAGGAGTGCATAAGGAAATCAGTTGTCCTCTAATTGACTTTTCAAATTTATATATATTGCTTGCAAATTGTCTACATGAGAAAACGTTTTGTTTAAAAAATTAATAATGATCTCTCCATATAGCAGAGAAGAGGAGAGGAAACCATTCAGCAGTCCTGAGGTGAATAAATCAGTCGCTACGCCGGGTAAAACTCCTACGTCCAGTCTGGAGGTATGCTTTACTATCTATTACCTACAGGAAGGCTGCGTTCAAACCAAACTGTATCAGCCGCCGACTGTGAGCGGAGGTTACTATTTTATTGCATATCCATACATGTTCATTTTTTCGTCCGTACCAAACCAACAACAATAATATAATACTACCTGACGCGGTCCACTCCACGTTCGGTGTAAACACACGCTAAACTTAAATTGATATAAGCGCCATATTTCGACTTTTAAAATTTTTTTTATATAATCTTAGTATTATCGCCGACTGATTATATAAGTATTATATTTCATAAATTTTTAAGCATTTTTATTAAAAATATTGACTTAAATAACATATTGAAATTGAAAATCATATTGCATAATTATGATAATAATAGGATACGGTTTAAGAATGTGGGATTGCGAACGGGCGATCTATTCTAGGGCATTTAAAAAGTTCAAATTTTGATTTAATATCAAGACAAGAAAGTGTGTTAATTTTCCAAAAATATTTGTTTTATGCTTTTTTAACATTAAAATAAATTCTTACAAGTATTATTTCAAACATAGTAAAATACCATATTATAGTACATATAGTTAAACGTAGACATTTCCGTCAGCCCAAAAAGCGGGGGCGGCCTAAAGGATCGACCAACAAGCCGAAGCCCCCGGGCACACCCACCGGCGCCCCGCGCGCCCCCGGGCCGCGCCCCGCCGCGCCGCGCCCCGCGCCCCCCGCGCCCCGCCCCCGCCACGCGCCCTACCAGTACGCGGTGCGACCGTTCCGGAAGGATTTCTCCGGGATACAGTTCCGCAGGTAACCTACCGCGTTTCACGAGGTTGTCTTGTTTCATTATTGTTGACCTCACGATAAATTTTGAAATATTTTGAAAATGGGAACTTATATGTGAAATTGTGAACGATGACTTAGTAGTATTATTTGTTTTAAAATAATAGTAAGTTTATTTTTTTATCTGTGGATTTCGAAAGCCGAAACACGGACGGCCTTCACGGAGCGTTGTGTGACGTCACATTTCAATAAACTAAACGTCGACGAAACGGGTTCGGTTCGGTGGGGAAACAAATAAAATGGATTCAATTAAAAAGTTTAAAGTTTGTTCGTCGATTCTTTTTGTTAAATAATAATAACTAATATTTATAAGTCGCGTCAGACTAAACACCGATCAGAGCGCATGACGTGATTAGTGGGTAGATCGGTGACAGAGCCTTGTTCGTCCCTGACCCTGTATATATATATATATATATATAATACATATACAGGCGGTGGAGCGACGAGTGCCTGGACTCGTCGCACATCCCCAACGAGGTGTACTTCGGCGACGTGCCCGTCTCCACGGAGGTGCTGTTCAACTACTACGACGCCAACGCGGAGCGCGAGCGGCTCGCCACGCAGGTAAATAGATACCGTACCAGAGGTTCTGAACTAGCTCCGCCTTGTATCCGGATCAATTAAGACCAGGCGTATTCCGAATAATCGATTTAAAAGTCAAATTAAACAATATTTAAAACTTCATCATCAGCCCTGTTACGTCCCCACTGCAGGGGCTCGAGCCTTTTTTATGAAAGGTTAAGGACGATGGGCCTATTGCGGATTGGAGGGTATTCACGACTGCAGATGCACCCGGGATAAACAGTTTACCGTGCCTTACGCAGCACGGAGTAGCTCGAAATAATATTTTTTTGGTCACCTATCCCGTACCGATCTTTGCGAATGTTGCTAAAATTGCGGCGCTAGCAAAGCGACCGCCTAATTATAGCCATTTAGGATACAACTAATTTATTCCAATAGACATATAAAAGTAATATCGTTATAACATCTCTAAGATGCCGTATCCTATGGTTCAGTCATAAGATACAAGGTTAGAAAGTTAAACGAACGAACGAAAGTAGAAAAAGTATTTAACAAGAGTCTTTGTGGTTTAGGCATGAAATCTAATACAGTTAGGTGTCGCTTTAAAATTTAAGTGCGCGTTCCTCATTTTAGAAATCTTGTCACAGAATTTTTAATCTTGTTTTTTAACAATCTTCGATGAGCGACCGACTCTGTACAGATACAAACTTCACGATACTACTCGTTAGTTAGTACTAAAGTATCGAGTACTTGTATTTACTCGTATCTTTTCATATGTACTCGCAGGCCGCGCAGATCGCCGCACAGAAGGCCGCCGCCGCCAAACTGGCCGCAGCCAAGCTCCAAGCTAGAGGCATCATATCCAACGAGGTCAGCACTAGTCATCTATTACATTTAGGGACTTTTTAAAACATCACCGTCCCATCGTACTCTAATTTATATACATTTTTTGGTATCTGTAACTGTTCAATTTTATTATAATGGTTCCCCCATTCTTGCCCGCCCGACTCTAGCACCTGGGTAAGTGCCCCCTTGCCCTACCTAGGTCCGGCCCTGTATCACATAACACGATTTTGACTCCCCTCCAATAGAAGAAAAAATATTGCGAGAGCAAAATATACGATCTTTTGTCTGTAGAAAAAATTCAAAGTAAGTTGAATTTTGGTATACACCTAAAGGTTAAGAAATCACTTTTTCTCGAATATCTTACGTCCTATAAATCCGAGGGTAATAAGATCAACTTAAGAATTGTTCGTCATCTACCAATAAACTATGTATAGCATTTTTCTGTCCAATCAACTATTTTGGAAGTGAAGCTTAGGTAAAGCGGATAGAAAACATTCATATACAATATTGTATACCGTACCAAAGCATGAACTGCGTTATTCGTCGAAGGTATTTCGATTGTGGGTTATAACATCATTACTTTGTGCAGGTTACGACAGTGGACTCGTCGTCGTCAGAAGAGTCATCGGGATCGTCTGGTAGTGATTCAGAAGAAAGTGACGATGTAAGTTTAAATTATTATACTGATAAATATGCCGCATTTAGATATGAACTAATTGATAAACAAAACTTGCTTGATCGAAGCTAAGCCAAAGGTTTACTCAAATGTTATACATATATAATGGGAATAATGTATTTGTATTGATTATCGTTGAAAATTAAACAAAAAAGTACTTTTCCACATCCACAAATGCTCGAGAAAGGAAGGGTAGATAAAAGTAATGAAAATTATATAAAAAAAACCGTATTAGTATTTAAACCGGTCTAGTTTCGGGTCAATATGGAACGTATTATTGAAAAATCTATGAAAAACACTATAAGAAAAAAATTACGTTTGTCGTAATTAAATATGTTTTTATTTTTTGCCCGTTTTCAATAAATTCAGGAGTCGCCCAAATCTGACACCTAAATATTCGGGCATTGCCCAAAGTGAAAATGCTTTTCACCAATAATAAGGAACCACCTAACGCCTTTATGCAATGCTTAAAGTTTGACATGCATTGTGCGGCGCCTAGCGTTGTGCATTTGTGTAATGTGACATATACATTTATTCTGACCATAAGGGATATGTTAAGGAATAAAATCAATTCCGTAAGTAGCAATTAAGGAGGAGAAATATGAAATATGCCATGAGATGTTTTAATTTTCTCAATTTTTATATATGTACAATGACGACTCGGGTGCTCGTGTAAATAAAATACTAAGTATAATTTTTAATATATATTTTTGTTATTGTCTCTTTACGTGTAAAGGCCACTAACGTGACATTGGCGGAGTTGTGTAACCATAAATAGGCCATAATTTTTTTTACATTTACATTTTTATATACACATGACAAACATGTCATGTGTAAACAAAAACTCTTGAAATTAAACACTTTGTAATTAAGTTACAAAAAAATTACACATTAATTTACAAAGGTTAGGTAATTTTCAAAATACGGCTATATAATTTAATTGCTGAATTCTATCTTAATTGCTTAGAATATCTCGAAATCGAAAAAAAAAAAGTATAATGATGTCTAGTTTAGATAGGTTACTAATATCTGCCTGTCACTGTTCGCTATGCTACGCTTCGTTAGTTAACATTGTTCAACGAATTTGGCTGTAGGATAGTTAAGGTACATCTTGTTTTAAGTTTTTACTTTTGGCAACATTTTTCTTTGTTAAGTATAAACTTTAAAATGCAAATATCCCTGTGAACGTAGCCTGCCTAGAAACTGCTATGTGGCATAGTGACGATACGTTGTTTAGAGAGGCTGATTACAATTCCTTGAACTTTGAACGCTCATTATTCAAAATCGCATTTTTTTCATTGCGTCACTATCGTTCTCAACGTGCGATATAGTGTTGATTCCGAGCCGTAATACGAGGCGCGTACGTTGCAGGAGACGCCGCTGAAGCGCGGCCCCGGGCGGCCCAAGGGCTCGAAGAACTCGACGAGCCCGAAGCGGCCCCCCGCGGGCACGCCCGGCCGCCGCGGCCGCCCGCCCGTGCCGCCCGAGCTGCGCCAGCCCGGCATCACCGACATGAAGAAGTTCTGCAAGGCGGCCGGCATACGGTTCGACTACAAGAAACTTGTCGAAGGTGACGCTTCAGCCCCTAGCTTGCCCTAGGGTACTGTTTATTTGGACGTCGATTCATATTGAATATTGAACAGCGGTTGCTGTGGGAATATTTTGATTCCTCGTACACCCTTCCACTGACATTTTCGTCTTTTTTTTTTGCTGCCGCGTATGATGTAGGAGAGAAATGATTTTTAAAATCGGTCCAGTATTTATTTATTTATGCATTTTCTACACACATTTAATTTAAATAAACAATTATAAAAGACATTTGTACGAGGGCACAGCTTATTTCAAATTGAAATTTCTACCAGCAAGCCTACGAATTAAACAAAATATAGTAAGGTATTCGGTGTGTACCTCCTAAACAAAATGTAAATAAATAAACTTAATATTAAAAACAATTGCGGAAACACAGGCAATATAAATAAAAATATATCATCATTAATGCACCCTCTAATATAAAGAGGTGGAAAGGTAACTCTTCAGTTTTTTTAAAGTAGATTAGTGCGACTGTTCCTTATATCGGCAGGCAGAGAGTTCCAAAGTCTAGCGGCATGAACAGTGAACAAGTATGAGGCGAAATCCGTAGATTCGATGCAAACAAACATACAGTCAAATCTTTCCTCTTTATAATATTTGGATAGACTGACCTGTGCCTATACACTAAAACAGGAATTAGAATTAGTAAATGTTTATCGAGTATCGGTATTCTATCGTGTCCTGGGATTTTTATTCAGTATATGAGTGTTTCTAAACGTTCTGTGCTATGTGTAAGTGAACGAATTAATATTTATCTATTATTGTTCACTAGCTTTCCGCCAGCAGTGTCGCCCGCGTGGCCCGCTTCTCGTATTATATGTATCTTCCTTTTAAATCATTATTATTAATTAATCATATAATACATTGGAATCACATTGAACCCATTCGGGGACCGAGTACAGCAGCGCATGGTACTACACCAGACCATATATATTTTAAATTTTTATAACTTATTGGTCATTTATTAAAAGTTAAACTTTTCAGTTATTTGATTTAATTACGAGTTTTTATTTATGATGTTATTTGATCATCAGGATGTACGAAGAATAAGGAACGCGTTCAGAAGATGATGGATTTATTAACGGCAGCGGGACTAGAAGGCAAGCCCACGTTGGAGAAATGTAAAGCGCTCAAGCAGGCGAAGATGGACAAGAAAGAGCAGGAGAAGCAAGCGAAGAAGGAGGCGAAAGCCAAGCACAAAGACAAGGAAGGTGAGTTGATTGAGATAAACATATGTGAACTTTTTATTGGAGAGGACTTTAGATCGATTTCTATTAGAGTTTCTTCTATAAAAATACATCTAGTGCAAATAGTGCGTTTAGTTGGTTAGACTTTATTTTATGTTGCTTCTTTGAACAAGAAGCTGATGCAAGTAAAATATATGTGAAATGTCAAAGGGTCGTATTGTAGGCCGTATGAACGAAGGACCATATGCAGTTCCATAAGTAGCAGTTATAGTTCTTCAATCAATGCAAAAATGAATTCGACAGTGTTCTTTTTTTGGAGTTTCTCTTTTTACGTTATGGCTTATCTGTATTACATTATATTTTGGAACGAAGTGTAAAAAGTAATGGACCAAATAAAGAGCCCTTTGAGGCATCTGGTGGTGTTACTAGTTATAGTTTTTGAATTACAGTACCTTTCCTTCGGGACTTCTTTTGACTGTTCACAAGAACTATTGTAAAACACTTACGACCACTCAACAGAAGCAATGACATTACTATAAGTCATTACCGAGTGAATGTGTATTATAACATAAAAAATATCAGTGTATGCGAAACATAGCATACAATATTTAGATACCATAAGCTTTTAATTACTATAAAAAATGACAAATCCAGGAAGGGGTCTTTATAATAAATGTGCAAAAAAAAAAATAGTTCTCACTGAAAACACAGCCCGAGAGGAGGGTGTAAGTAAACATAAGATTCACGTATGAGTGATGTTCGTTAAGTGTGGGTAATGGTAAAATCGTCACTTGATCCATTGTCGTAACACCAATTGTACTTTATAATAATGTTTCAAAATTTTCCAAGCAGAATAAAAAATTTTCCAAGCCAAGTATTGATTTATACAAATTCTTTGAGCGGCTTGTTTGATTTTTCTTCGTAGATAAAAGTACGTCACCGTGTTGGATGTAGGTACAAATTTCAGGGGATCGTTGGTCGTCGTGGTTCTTTAAATTACGTACATACAAGTACTGTTACGACCTTTTTTTTTTAAAAAGAACTTGTTCAATTGCACTGATGTTTTAAATAATAATAACTTCTTATGTTATTGACGATTAAAGATTTTGATAACGATAAAAAACGATAAAGGCTTGTTCTAAGAGTTTTTTTTCTGAAATCCAACCGGTAGGCAGAAACCGGGTCCTTAGTTGAACAGCAGTTCCACAATTAGAACAAAGACTGACTAAATTATTGAAATTGTGAGTTTTTATACACAAATAATTGCTGATGACAAACATCATTAAATGCTATTTGGTAAAAGTGTGTTGTCCCTAAGTCAGCAACATTCGTGTATTGAGTGGGTTGTAACAGTACGTACGTGGTCCAATAGCCTTCGCTACATTCGTAAAGCTGCCGATATTTTTTCAGTACATTATCATACTAACGATGTGTGGTTGAAACGCGCGCGTAACCCGTGCGTAACCAGTTGTCTAGGTCACAGTTAGACGACGTTTGTAAAGGGCGGGCGGCGTGTTTCTTTCTTTTTCAATGAAAATAAATTACGTCCAGTACAAGGCGTACGTAGAACGGCTGTACTTAAACCCTTTTTTCGAGAGACTTTTTTGTTTTCTACTTAAACATAGAGACATACATAACGATACTGATAATACAGTTAAAATATTTGTGATAACATAATATAGTCTATATACGTGAGTAGCTCGGTAGCGTAGTGGATAAGCGTCGCGTCCCGCGATCGTTGTTGTTAAGCAACTTTCGCAAGGGTCGGTCACGGGATGGGTGACCAAAAAAATATCTCGAGCTACTTCGTGCTTTGGAAGGCTGCATTTGCAGTCGTTAATACTCTCCAATCCGCATTCGGCCATCATTAACCATCCACAAGGAAGGCCTGAGTCCCTGCAGCGGGAACGTAATAGGGCTGATGATGGTGATGAGTAACAATATTGCTCGTAATAATGGGTGACCAAAAAATTATTATCTCGAGCTACTCCGTGCCTCCGTAAAACCGTTGGTCCCGGCTGCATTTGCAGTCGTTAGTACTCTCCAATCCGCATCGTGCCATCCTTAACCATAAGTAACAATGTCGTACGTCAGGCGAGGACGAGGAGGGCGCGGAGGGCCCCCCGTCGTCGCGGCGCATGACGCGCGGCGCGACGGGCGTGAAGCCGCGGCAGCGCATCGTGATCTCCTCCGACGAGGAGGACGACACGCCCGCCGCGCGCCGCACGCTCTCCAAGCTGCGCTCCAGCGTCAACTCCGACTCGGACTCCGACTAGTACGTAACGTACGAGTACGTTCATCGTCGACTCCTCGGCCCCGCGATTCTGTAAACAATCAAACCCGAATTCGAGTGAATTCACTTCGAAAAGCGGCAACCGCTCAACCTTGAATAGGGATGATGACTGGGTAATAAAAATGTAATTCTATTTAGTCCGTCAGTCAGATAATAGAAAAATATTAGATACGTATTTTTTTTTACTTCAATTTAACAAGAAATAGCTTAGATAACAGACATTAAAGTTGAGGAGTGGGGGCTCGCTACGTCACACTAACATTAACGTGACGTCATGCGAAATTTCAACTCCATGTAACGCCGTAATTTTATGATTACGAAAAAAATAAAAAAATACGTGTTTAATATTTTTAAACACTCTACCTGACGGACAAACAAACAAAAATTAGTCATCATCCCTATTGGTAATAACGTTTCGTGGCATAAGTGAAGTGAGTTTCGAAATGATATAGGAATAGAATATCTGAGACACGTATATTCAATCAATTTTGTTTTGTATTTTTATATAAAAAATGGGATCTATAGAATTTCTATAATAAATAACGTGAATTCGGGCACATTAGTGAATTCGAATTCGGGTCTGGATTTTTACATAAAGTGACTTTCAATGTTCCGTAACATATTCCTCGATAGTCTTTAAAAATATGCTTTAGTATATCTTCTAGCAAAATAAATTTATAAATGTTCGCTCCACTTTACTGGTGTATAGAGACTTACAACAGTGTTAGTAATTCTTATATTGATATCTTCAGTGACTCTGAAATTACTTTCAAAAAGAAGAAGATATTGAATACTTTCTTCTGTTTGCGATTAAAATTATGTAATGTTTAATAATATACCGTATATAATTTATTGCTATTTTTTATATATTTTATTTGGTTTATTTTTATAAAATAATCTGGAATAAATTGTATGCTCTACAATAATGTAAATAGTATCGGTATATTTATTATTTTAGAATGCTGTATATGCCTATAATAGGCACTTCATTAAAACTAGTCCATTGTCTTTATATTAATTGTGTAACGCTATTGTCGCTGGTGTATCATAATCAATAAATAAATAAGTGTCGAGCTTCTACTGACGCCTAAGTTGGGTTACGACCATGTTTATAAATATAAATAATAAAATAAATCCGCTTTTGCTTTCGAGTATCAGATACTGGACGATATAATTGTAAAGTTTTATATAAACAGTAATATTTGTTTCGACAGGTAATCCTTCACTTCTCTGCTCTTGTTAAAGCAGTATCAGCGTAGTGCTATACTCGTTAGACAGTGAACGGACATAACCGGACCTCTAGAAAGTGCTTCGACGGAGGTGCAACGGTTCAATGAAGGTAGACTGTCGCTCTTTCCTACTAATATTAGGTTTTGCTACGTCTAAATTCCGAGCGAATAAATAAAACAAGTGTACGTGTCAAGATTTGTGTAATTATGTGAATGCGAGTCGCTTGGTCAAGTCAATAGGTTAGTCCAAGATGGATATTGGAAGTAGCGAAAATTAGAATTATATGCGTTTTTGTTAATGACAACATTTTAATCGACTACACGAAAGGTAAAAATTAGGTTTTTGAACGTCTCGGCTAAATGAGATCTTTTTTGAAGTCTGGCAGCACTGTCATTAGTTATTAAAAAAAAGTCTGTCAGCAACAGCCAGCGTCAAAACATAGTGTTGTCTCGTATTCTGGAATTTCTCGGGAATGCGATGCAAATGCTATTTTTAAGTGAGACTGATTGATAATATGAAGTTGTTACAAAACCTTTTGATGTAGTTAATTAAATAGAATTATTTATAATTTATTATTATCTATTATGTTGTCTAAAAAAACTTTTTAAGTGTATAATCAAATACCTAACTGCTATCGAGAATAATTGACAATATATGTCATAAATCGAGTATTAGTAGTATTTGTAAATTAAATACTAAATTTTATTGTTGATAGAATAAGAATACAAAATAATACAATTATAAACAATACAATTACTCCTTGCTCTGGGAGTGGCTAAGTTATTTATCTTTGTCACTCCTGTAACTTCTAGATTCGATGGCTTATAACATCAAAAGTATATTTCTATACCTGTTTCATAAGATTTAGAACGTTTATTTGTCTATTATTGCAAATTTAACAGAAAATATAAGGAAAATAAGAAAATGTCACTGCATTCTTATCAAAAAGTCAAATATTCTCGAGTGCAGCCAGGGATTTAGTTGACTTGTTCCTAAAGTGACATTTTACGCGTGAAAGATACTCGCATGTGACTGTTTTAAAGAAAGTCGTTGACGACAATAGATCGTGCTTCAAGTAAATATAGGTCCTTTAAAAAGTATAATAATAAATAAAAAATGAATAATTGTAAGTGTCGAATCGGCCAATAATGTAGGGATAAAATTTTTATTGTGAATTAATAAGCAGTCCCCGGGTTATAAAAATAATGTAAGTTAGAGAAAAATGATATTTACAATTCGTAATTTTTAACATTTTTTTAGTTATGTCTTATTCTAACTAGATGGACATAATTTGTAGATGCTATCCGTGTGAATTTTTGAAGTTATGGTTTTGATTGATTATCTAAAATTTGTCATTTGTACTATTTGAAATATTATAGTTTGCATTTTTGAGGTTATTTCAATGGGTGCTACCGCTTGTGTATTCTATAGAGGAATTATAGATAGAGAGGGGATCAAGACCTCCAGCCATCTCTCGGTTAGAAAGAGAAGATCGTGCTGCTCTAATTGTTTCACTCATCTCGTGCATGCGTAATTACTAGAAATACCAGAAAGATTCAACGACATGTCTATGCACATATTTTACTGAATGTCGGTAGAGAACGGAAAAAAGAGACAAACAGAGAATCGCGATCATCTCACCTTTTTAACCAAGGGATTTTTTTGCTTACAGGCTGTTGTGTGTTCCCAATATTCTATTTATAATTCTGAATTCTCTATCCGAGTCGCTGGTGAAGTGTGAGGTCTGTGAAGTGTCATTTATCACTCTTTTGTGAGCGGGCTATGAGATTTTATATGCTACCCTCGCTAGTGTTAGTTATTACATGTGTTCAAGGTTTTTCTTTATTTATTTAGTTAATTCCGCCTTTTGACGTGGAATCACGAAATATAGGATATGTTACTAACAGAAACAATAGGCGTTGGTTCGTTACATCGTCAAAGGAAGTGTAAAACGTTATTTGTTTTTTAAATATATAAATCTTTTTCGTCTATTACATGAAAATCTCTAGCTTTCTATATTGTTAAAAAGCGCAGCTGAGACATTGAGAAATGTTTTATTTCCTGTAAATGTATCTATCTCAAGTATTAAAAAAAAATACATGATTTTTAAAAGGATATAAAAATACCTATGAGTCGCCAATAATCACAAAATTGAGAGATTTTTAATTTGTCTTTTGGGAAACTATCCTTATTTTTCGCGAATAAAACGGTACTACAACATTACTATATGTATAGTTAATAAGATAATAGAGCTTCAATTGCAGGCTTTAAACCACCCCCCCCGCGCCCCGTCCGCCTCTATAACAATTTGACAGCCGCACTTCAAGACCTCACTCGCTAGTGGCATCACCCGATGAGCACAAAATGGTAGCCCTAATTTTTACATTTATCGAGATTTCATTTAATAATATGAAATCAATCACTGCCCATATATTCTGCTACATAATATAGATGACCATAATAATACATAATGAAAACGAGACTTATATAAATAGCAATAAAGGCATATTTTTTAACCAACTTAGTATTCGTACTGACAAAAAAAAAATTAAGTGACTAACCAAACCTGACTCAGTTAATGATACCAAGAAATAACTTAAAATATACATCTGCAATATATGGTAATATAACAACAAAGACATCTAACAAACGGCATATTGTGTTTGTTATAAATCTGATGTGTGTAAAATGTAACTATCACTAAGGCGGCAACATTTTTAATGTATCAAAGCACAGATAACCTCCAATTGATTGCTGTATTCCGTACGAAATACAGCTGTACCCAAGCATCTATGATTATGCATAGATCGTTTTAACAAAAGTAGTAATACGCGTATGCGAATCCTCAGTAGCGACCAAGTGTCTGATCTGTGAATATATGTTTTTACGACGAGACTTCTTTATAATTAAGTATTTATTGGGTTAGCCATGGCAATTTGCAGTGCCTAATAGTGTGGAAAAAAATATTTTGTATTTTTATCTCCCGGAGTTCAAGTTATAGTAGACAAATATAGGCAATTTTATAGAAATGTAGCGCGCATCGATATCTCCTTGAAACCCATCCCTTTCCCGTCTTAGTAATGAGCTATGTTAGTATATTTATTTCATTCTGACAAAGACACGTGTAAACCTAGTGTTGCCACTGAATGCTTTTTCTAGGTATAATCGATATAGATGTTTTCATACGAAAACGTTGATTGGCATTGTTACTGTAACAGAAAAAAAAATGTAGTTAGTGCACAAATTAGTACACAAAAGAACTGTGAAGATTTTAAGTTTTCATTAATAATTTTTATCCTATTTTTTAATACTTGTTCATTATTTAAAATTCCAAAGTTTGCATTTTTCACTTGAATGAATCCCTTTTTACAAGCTTTTATTTAACTTGTCGTGTTGTATGTATGTTAGTTAGTGCGCAAATCTTGAAACTCAAATATGATCCACTTTCCAATGTCCTTTAGGTTTGAAATTTCGCATAGACGAGTAAGTCAGATGACGATTAAATATTATGGTGTGAGTAAGTTAATATGATCATGAAGTCGGAAAGTGGAACTTAGTGATGAAATGACGCAACTGCATCGTGTTTGGGCTCTTTAGATCCGTCTTTATGAGAACAACAACATATATCGATAAAACTAAAAAATAAAAATATAGTTAATATAATAAGCAACTAAAACGTAAATGATAATTTTATGTAAATATTTTCTCTAACAGTAATTGAGTCTTGAAAAGCTTGTAGCGCTAATGAAATCGGAGACATATTTTTAGAGAAAATATTTGCATATAATTATAGTTTACGTTTTAGTGCGCACAAATAAAAGCAAAAATCGATTTTTAAAAGTAATTCTTACCAACTGATTGAAAGTTAGTGATTGACTGAACGCGCTCACTGAAGCCTTGCCGTTGGATGCCATGTCCATTAATTAGTTTATAGTCCTATAAATTGTGAATTAAATAAAAATAAATGTAATCAGATACATTTTAATGACATTTAATACTAACATATAATATATCGATCAATTATCGACATTTCTTTAACACATTATGGTCCCCATCACTACGGAATACGTGTCTTTGTACTAGCCAATAACGTCGCCGCAGTTACCTCGCCTGCTTCCTACCCCACCACTACATACTCAACAATACTATAGTCATCACGTGGTCTCTATTGGAGGTTATCTGTGCATCAGAGTATTCCTCAAGTCTGATAAATAATGACCACCTGTATAATATGAACCTGCAAAGCAAAATATTATCTATGTTCAAGGCAAACAGACAAAAATATATACCTTTTACAATTTCTAATCATCGCTTAGTTCCACGAAGTTTTTAACACTTTGCAATGATAAAAAATATCCAAAATTGAAAGGTGCATATTTTTTTTTACAAGCAGTCAAGTCTAGTATTTCTACTTATTGCCGTTATCCAAAATAAAAAAGTCGAGGTAACTTTTAGTGTTTATTAATTTATTTAAGAAATTTCAAATGGATCACTTCAGTTAGGTGAAAATATGATATTTTGTGATTCTGATGCGTTGCTTATTGTCGCTTTACATGATATACGAAACTGTTGTTTAAACTACGTTTTATTGACTACCATGAAATAACCATCATTATATCTTTCGCTATTCGGCATTCTGAATGCAAAATTGATGAAATATAATAACTCCTTTATTTAAAATTAAAAGAAATAATACTGTTGTGGTACTATGCGCCATATGGCCTCAATGTATGTGTCTTGTATATTTAATATTAGTCTTCAAGTGTTGCGGATGTACTAGTTCGGCTAGCTTAGACATTAAAAAACTTCAATATCAAAGTTTATATGTGAAGGAAGTATTGAAAAGTAATGAAACTTTGGTTTTATGATGACTACTTTATTAGCTTTCTATGAATATATTTTTTGTGACCTTTTTCAAATAACTATACACACATGCATATAAAAAACAAAATATGATTTTCATTAATGGCAGCTAATTTAACTCGTTAACCCTTCAGTTTCTACTTTCGCTGTTTAAAATTAGTTAATTGGATAAATGCGTAACGATTACAACACGCTCTTAAAAACTATTGGAATAAATTATGCTTTTGTAGAGACCCAGTGATGGGTAGAAAACTACCATGATGGTAGAATTCGCGGTGTCGATGGTAGAATTTGAATCGCGTTCTAATGTAGGACTTAAACCCCTCGCCTACTTGGTAAGTAGTGATAGTGAGAAAGCTTATATGTGTCGGCACTCGTAATGTTCATTTGTGCCTATATTAACATTTAATAATTCTATAAATATAAATGTGTGCAGTCATATTAATATTCATTTACTTTTACATTTTGATAGCTGAGTACTATGTATTTTGGATAGAGTCAAACTTTTTATAACTTAAGGGGATTCTTTTTTTTTTAAATTAAAATAGTATATTTATCAATAAATTGGTAACACCAAGAGGTTAATGATAGTTTAATAGTTGGTGTTGTATATATAGAAAAATATAGAGCCAGTGTATCGTTACGTGTCCTCATTATTTTTGTACAGACGTCAAATAAAATTTGGATGCGTCAACGCTTTGTACATAATGCGTAGATTGTTTAGGTGCGTGCAGTTATTCCGATATGGTTTTAAGTAATCTCAATTTATATATTTTGTATTTTAAAGGTTCAAAATTGTTGTAAGATTCCTAATAGTTCAGCACAGTTAGCTCTTTCTGTTGTTTTGTTGTAGATAAACAGCAGCGCGTCACGGCTGATATTGAAAAGATACATTCGTTTTCGCCTTTATCAAAAGTGCGTTTTTGATGTAACAATGTTTTACATGCTTTTTAAATTAACTCGTTCTATTATATATTTTCTTTAGTTGATTACAATATTACGTTATATCTTTGTCCTATACCTGCTTAAATTTAATATCAATTTATTAGAGTTCATTCGTTTATGTTATTATTTTCAGGGCCAAAATCCATATCATGCGTTAACAATATCAAAGCCTAGTCAGCAAAGGTATTGAAAGCGTCGTGTACTATGTAATGAGCGGTCTCATTTCAGTTAATTATCAACTGTTAAACGACTATTTAGACATAAATGTGGAAAGTTCTGTGTTTAACAATTTTTTTTTTAAATTTAATAATTTATTAGTGATGAATCTCGAAAGGTAATTGAAAAGAAAATCACAATACACGAAAATTGTATTAAAGTTTCGGAATTTTAAGTTTCATTAGTTTATAGGCACAAATACAATAAGCATAATAGAACGTTTTATATTATAAAAATTAAGACGTTTTTCAGACGATATTTTTTTACGCAGTGTTTATTGGACATTATTTTTACCGAAGTTTATATCTGTATTGGACATCTTTTGACGGACCTAATGAATGTTGAAAAGTTATACAATTAATTTTTCTATTTTCAATCAAGACAGTTTTTTATTTTCGCGTATAAAATTAAGCGATGGGTAATGCGAAAAATTAACACGTCAACACGTTATTTTACATGTCATTCATTTATCCGCCTTACGCTATTACTCATATAATTTAGTTAATTTGCATTTAAAAAATGTTGTGAAAAAGCGTATCGTCTGGTGGGGGCC